TAAATATTGCCTCGTTGGCCGAGTGGTCGCAATTGCGACTGCCGGGCAAGGGGTCTCGGGTTCGATTCCCGGGTCGGGCAAAGTATTACTGGGTTTTTAAAAATTTCAGTCGTAGCACGGATTCTGGAAATGTGCCCGGTATATGGCAATAGGCTCACTCCCTATTACATGGGACTCATAACATAAATAGTGAAAAGTGGGTGTTACATTGTACAGTGGCATTAAGTGCCGTAATGTGCACATCTGCCTACCTTCGGGGATAAAAAGCGTTATGTTATATTATGTTATTTTTTCATATTATGTGTAGGTATTTAATATTTTAGTACCTAACTAGAAATTTTATTAACATATCTACTAAAAAGTTCCACTACATCAGCCACTTCACCTAATATTTTGCATAATATCTATCAATAATTAACCAAAATTAATTTATTCTACATGGCTAAAAAGCTTTCATAACATTTATTTTGTCGTATAACATAAGCGCACATTTCATATCGACGACAGTAATTAAAAATCCCATTGTAACGATGCAACTGCCGGGTGTAGACGAACAGAGGACGTGAAATAATAGAAAAGCATCCTTTACACTCTTTACAGTAACAAAATGTTTTCATAAAACAGTTTTTCACACTCAGTCGAAGTGTTAGCAACATATAACTCGCACAATAAAGGCGCACTTCACGACCACTGCACAAATGCAACGAGCATTTTATCCCGCGGGGGCATTACACCCCACAGCTCTACAGCCTCCCCGAGAGCACCATTCATGTGGAGCAAAAACAAAGTATACCCTTTCTACTCCGCGTGAAACCATAAATGCAAAACATTTTTTTTTTCTATTGAAGAGGACCTTTCCAGGTCAACCTACATATATTTTTATTAGGAGAGTAAAGCTTCCACCAGGTATGAACTAATTTGTGTAATTTCATCGTGCAGATCTTTGTGTCGTAATTTTATTTTAATAAATTACGTATTTATTAATTAGAGCTATAAAATTCTTCTATTGTTCCAAATAACTTTGAAACCAAATTTCACTTTAAGGCGTTTCAGATCTTTATTAACAATTTACAAATTGTTCTGTGGTTTTCCTTTACAGTCAATTTAATTAATAAATTCAAGGAAATTAAATTAGCTAATTTTGTAAGTATGTACGAGGAAAATGGGAACGGTGAAAGAACTTAGAGAATAGTTGAGTGGTGTACATTTATATTTCAAATTAAAATTTATATGGAGAGAAGTTTGGTTTGTAAAAAATATGAATCCCTGCGGAGCGCATGCCGCAGGCTCGGAAAACTATTGAGGGGAAAACGAAGTGGCAACCAACCTGAGCTGGATAGTCCCTAGGGCTGCCACAAACGACCTCGATATTAATATCAGTTTTGTTGAAACAAAGCCTTGGTAAATTGCTTATTCACCAATGTTGTTCCGAGTTATTTGTACCTACTTTCTAAGATTATTCTGACACCACTAACAAACGGTGAAGGAAATCATCGAGAGGAAACCTAGGTTTATAATTTGTAATTATAAGTTTGAAATCAAGCAAGCGTGGCCTTCTGCGAGTGAGAAAACGCTTTGCTTAGCAGTGGGCATTATAGGCTGTTGATGTGTGTTCTCAAACAGTAGTCAAGTACTACTACTACTTTTTTTTGAAAATCTTCGAATGACTGCTCCCGCCTGAGTGAGGCGGGAGGGAGTGTCACACTCTTACTGACTAAAAACCACCCCGTTCCTTCTCCTGCACGTCGAGCCGGAGCCCTGGTTACCCGTTAGGTTCTCCACGACAAGTACTACTACTTACCTAGTACCTACCTATATGGGTCCAATTTCAATGCAGCATTAATTTACATTCATAATAAATATCGAATTGGTACAAAATGCTGCACTTATGAGTAACAAAAAACCAGGACTTCATTTAGTAAAATAATTGTAAAACGTCACTGGTACGGTGCAGGTGCAGCCCCGTGGACTACTTTGATTCATCATCCTCACAACTCGGTTAAACCAAGGAAACGTTTCAATTGAAGTTATTCCCGGCGTAAGCTTAAAAATTCCCTCTAATTAAAAATGTCAACTAGGTCACAGTTATAAAGAATCTATTGAAATGTATGAAGCTACCTGACAGGCATGTGGTAACAAAGCGAATGTGGCATTGCCGTATTTATTTGTTTATCCAATTGTATTTGAACAATTATTCTATCATAGGTATCTAATGAATAAAATAATTGTTTAGTTATGTATGTTAAAAGGGTAGATTTTATTTATTACGTTATTTAATTTGTTCCTAATTGCCTTATCGAAATTTATACATTCTAGGATATCATTACGTCGCAGTCGACTAGTTTAATTAGCCGTTATATTAATTGCCTTTGACTTTGAATTGACTTCCTCGTTGGCCGAGTGGGTCGTAAGTGCAACTGCCGGGCAAGGGATCTCGGGTTCGATTCTCGGGTCGGGCAAAGTATTACTGGGTTTTTTAAATATTCTCAGTAGTAGCACGGAGTCTGGAATTGTGCCCGGTATATGGCAATAGGCTCACCCCCTATTACATGGGACTCATAACATAAATAGTGAAAAGTGGGTGTTACATTGTACAGGGGTATTATGTACACCTCTGCATACCCCTTCGGGGATAAAAGGCGTGATGTTATATTATGGTATGTTAAATTAATTGCCTAGCAGCTACGCTAGGCTAGAACCTAGCCAGTTTATTTATTGACATCTTTTTAACAATCGTGGTAGCAGTTTGATTTTGATGGTGATAATAATTATATTATGACTAGTCAAGTAGTCATTTATGCCGTTAAATAGGTAATTTTATTGATAGTTTTAAGTGTATTGATTGGATCAATTAAGTTGATAAAAAAATAAATCAAAATATAAAATCTCCTATTTTTTACTTCCTTACCCACCTGAAATGCTGACACAAGCTTTGGATTTACCAGAAGAGTTACTTATAATAACAGACAAGAAAGATCAATCGCCTATAAAAATTAACTTTATTAAAATGAGTTCAAGAACAACAAGCACCTTGACTTTCAAGCATTGGCGGCGCTAATCTCTGTTTCCCATTATCAACAGTAACGACATCTATGCTGGAGCTTTTCAGTAGGCAAACATCTATTCACTTAACAGAAAAAGCTTTCCCTTAGCTTTTGTAACAGTCATTAACCCTTGAAGCTAAGTAAGAACAAGACAGATGGCACTGAATCCCAAATGCAATCGCAACGACCTCTGTTCGAATATGGCAGAATTAGTTCGGAGACGATAGAGGATACTTCCTAGTTAATTTCTCAACCCTAACCACGTTTCATAATTCTAAAACCTTCTGAACAAACCGTTTAAGTTTCATAAAGAATTAAGCACGTGTACGATCGTCAAGTCTTTGTTTCAAAAGGCCGGTAGGTTCTGATAAAAAAATTATGTAACTTCCAATGTAATCAGTCTTTCTAGGTTAGTAAGTAGGTAACTTTTAATTCACTCTTTGGAATAGGCTTAGGTAAGTTACAAGTAATTTTCATAGTTTATGCCATGAAATCCACCACTACTTAAATTAAAAAATATTTCAGTAAATATTATGAAATTGAATAATGAAAAGGAAATGGAAGGTCGCCAAGGCCATATCATGCAAAATCCAAGTCTTAGTCAACCGCTACTTAGGTACTTGCAGTCTCGGTGAAGTCGGTCGTTGTGAAGTGCAGTACTAGCCACATCATACATAGCCCTGTTTTATTATGTATTAGATTCGTTGTGGGAGCCCGATGGACCGTCAGTTCAAGCACCGCAAGTAGGGATCGGTTGGTACGCTATGAACGAGGAACCGCCTGTTATCGCACCGTGTTAGCAAAATCGCGGGCATGACGACGGCATGATATAGAAAGACGTGGAGTGAGGTGAAGCAAATCGCAATGGAGGATTTTATGCCTTTGCCCCATCTAAATATGAGACAAGTCAATGCTGCCTTATAGGTATTAAAAACAAAGTCTCGAAGTAGTTGGTACTTTGGCAAGGCAACACTGTCTTCTCTAGTCAATTAATATAAAACATGACGCCTTTTATTACGACAGGTAGGCAGAGAGTCGTCAATTATGATTTGAGTCCAAAATAATAGGGGCATTCCAGACTTCTTGTTGAAGTTAATAACTTCGTATTAACTCAAATTTCCTATGGGCTATTTTTATGGAATAAACGAGAGAAAAAAGAAACCTTTCCTTTTTGCCTTCCTCCATGATCTCTTATTTTGTGCAGAATTAGTATTAGAACACATGGCCAAGATTGCAAAGTGCGGCCTAAACGACCAGCCCGTACTCATTGCAAATTATACGCCAGTTGGTCTAGACTAGCTTGGTTGAAATGCGACCAGTTGGTCGTTGAGGCCAAGTGCGTGACGTTTACATTTTTACGAATGGATATGCGTTAAGAGTTGATGTGGTTTAGAAACGTCATGATATCAATAAATGGACTTTCCATTTATTCCACCATCATCGGTGAACCTTGGTTGAAACACAACTGTTAATACATGTATAGTTGATATGGCGTTTATTACAATAGTACAGTATTCATACTTAAAGTTGACTACACAAATGCAGCAGATAATGACACGCACATACACTTACTCTAAATAAAAGTCATGTGTAATATTTTTAACTTTTTTAATAGGGATAACTTATATAATATGCAAGGGATAGTCCCAAGGATTCCTCTTTAGTGATAAAAGGATAAAACCATTCACAAATGGAGAATCACAATTTATCACCTGCTCAATAAATACAGTCAACAGTAAGCATAATCTTAAACAATTTATCTGTAAATGATATTTAGTCATTTTACAACTCTGGATATTAACTGACAAAGTTTCAAAACTAAAAAGTACGTCTACGAGAGTCGAACGACACCGGGCACGGGCGCCCGCGCCGGCCCCGCGCGTGGCGACGCGACAGTCCGACTACACTATATACAGGTCACTGCGCCGCCGGCTGGCGAGGGCGGCGGCGGCGCGGCTAGGACGACGAGCCCGCGCCGAACATGTTGGAGCTGAACGCCGCCGCCTGCACCGCCGCGCCGCCCGCCACGCCCGCGCCGCCCGCGCTCCCGCCGCCCGCGCCCCCGGCGCCGCGCGACTTGGGCATGGGGGGCTGCAGGTACTCGTGCCGCGCCAGACCGAACACGTCGATGCGCTCCTCCTTGCGGTACGCCAGGCACGCCCGGATGAAGCTCTGCAAAGACCAAACATTATGCATGAGTAAAACATTATAACACCATTTATAGCTGCTGTTACAGCAACAATATCCAAAAGTAAAAACGTTCAAAATGTTATTCACTCACCTTAGCCTCATTGCTGACCGTAGGTTTGTTAGCAAACTGCACCTCGGTCGCCTTTAGTATTGTGTTCTCCTCCAGTATGGTGGCCTGGCTTTGGTTGTGTCCGAACGGCTTCTTGCCATATAGACACTGGTAGAAGATTACTCCCACACTCCAAACGTCCACCTTGCTACTGATCTTTGGTGGGTTTTTACCGACAACGAAGCATTCAGGCGGCAGGTACCTATAAAACAGGAGGATTGTTATTAGGATTTGCTTTTTATTGTTAACATCCATATTATACTGGAGTATAATACTGATTTTACTGGGACTCTAGAGTGGACCCTATTTTATCTGCTTTTTTAAGAAAAAACAAATAAAGAGAACAAATACAAACAAACAAACAAACAACCGACTTACCAATAAGTGCCTGCTCCCTGGCTCGTTAAGTCCATCCCGTGATCGGGATTGTAATTCTCTTCGTCCATCACTTTGGACAGGCCGAAGTCAGTGATCTTGATCTCGCCGCAGACGTTACCCTCTGTGAGGAGGATATTGCCCGGCTTCAAGTCATAGTGGATCACTGGGGGCTTGATCTCGTTTAAATACTTCAACGCTGACACAACTTGCATCACGATAGAGCGAGCCTCGCGCTCCGGAATTGTCTTGTGCTGGAATTAAATAGATGAATTATTAAAATTAATGCTGAAAATGGTTGTCATACTTTAAATCAGTAGCACAGCAAGATGTAGATGATTTGGGCTTTTTCCTAGAACCTCGCTGTGAAAGACTCACGAGGTATGAACAAAGTCTCAATCTCAACACTAATAATTAATAACAGCGCCTGCCACTACTGCAAGGTGTGTCAGCCGAACCATTCAAAGTGCGAAAAGGAATTACAGAGATATAACATAATAGCAGTGGCGTGCAGTCCATATAGGCAAAAAGACTTTGCCTACCTTACAAATACCGTAATAAAAAATATAAACATTTTAATTTTACTACAGAATACTAAAATAATAATTATAATAAAATTTATGAACGCCTAAAATAAATAGTATAGCAACAATGATGGCGCGCGATACGTGTTGCATTTTGCCAGGCGTACCGTATATAGCTGTAAACACGCGAGACAGGCACGCGGTTCCGTCGCCTGCAAACCATTCATAAATTTAAGCGTGTAGTGGTGAACGTCATTGTGTGCGTTGTGCACAGACGCGTTAATTTTATCGTCGCGAAGCTTGCCTGCAGGCACGGCCTGACGACTCGTGACTGAAGTTCGCCGCGAGCCGACCAATCACGTTCCGTGTCTTGGTTTACTCATTGGTCGCCTCGCAGCGAACTTCACGCCGCTCGCGCGTGACAACTTTTTTGTTTTTGTTTACGTGCGATGAGTGGATTTTCCGATAATATAGTTATTTGATTTAGAATACGATTAGTAATTCTACGCAAATCATTTGTAGTAAACGGTATAATTGTCTATTTATATAAGAACATTTTATTACTGTGTTTGTTTATTTGTTAATTGATTTTGCAAAGTTGTACGAAGAACTGTGAAGTTTGTGTTGACAAAAGTTGGTAAAGATTTATAAACTATCGCAGACCATCGCTTAGTGATTAGATTGTGTGTGAGTTTTTCTTCTGATAGTCTTGTCTTGGTAAGTTCTATGAAAGTTACTTTATTTTAATGTGATTAGGTTATGTAACATAAGTAGGTATGTACCAGTCAGTAAAAATAACGAAGTTTTAAGTAATATGTTATGTACTTATTATAAAGTGAAATGAAGAAGAATAAGCTAGGTAATTGAATGTTTAATAATACTAAAAAATGTACCACCGCTTACTCGGCTCGGCCGCAGCCGCCCGCGGTCGGTTCGATTTTTCTATTTGTCATACCTAATTTCTTGAAATCATAACTCTTAAATAGATGAACCAAACTTATTAATTCCAATAATTAAACTTAAAAGAGTAAAGAATTCTTAATATTCTTGAATTAAACGCGAGGAGGCTGGACAGGCAATACAATTTTTAGAATGAAAAATTCGTTACTGCTACTGAATTGATAACATAAATTAGATTAATCGTTTTACAGCACCTCGAGTAGGTAATTATGCAGATTAGTTTTACAAATCTAAAGAGAAAAATAGAATATTTGTGTTTTTAAGTTGTTAGAGTAATCAATAAGTTGACGTAATACTTCACGAAAACAACGAGAGATGGCACTGTTACAAAGAATTGACGAAAGAATAAAAACCTCATATCTTGAATTATGTTATGTATTTATGATGAGTTCAATCATAATACAATATTATGTTGCCTACCCTGTTCTAAAACCCTGTGCACGCCACTGCATAATAGTATTATGATATCACGACCAATTTGAAGAGACAAGAAGAGGTGCCTACCACACCCTTTTCAACATATTCATACAATAGGAGGCGAGCCCAAACAATTACCTTTGATGCATCATATAGCTGCATTATTGCAGTAAACATTATGAATCATTAAACACGATAATCGAAGAAAAACAATAAACTTGAACTCACCTGTTTGAGATAAAAATCGAGATCATGTCCATTACAGTACTCAAGCACTGTACAAAACGAGTTGCCGTCAATTTCAAATACGTCATATAATTTTACAATTCGAGGGTGGTCTAATGCTTTGTGAATGTTGTACTCCCTCAGTGCGTGTCTGTAACAAAATAGATTACAACTGAGTAAGTAAGATATAAAAAGGATTGAAATACATATTTAATATTTTTTACATCAACTGTTTATGAGCATAATAATTCTGATTTAAAAAATATTGCCTCAAGTACGATTCTCCCTTTGTTATATTTAGTCGTGACTTTAAAAAGACTGTGACCGAATTTGTTTCAGTGTTTATTCTCATTTTGCAATAAAGGCTTCCTTTTGCTCAATTTTTAAATATTGACATGTAAAAGTACTTGCGTACTTGTTTACCCAAACAGATATCATTACATAAATTAAATCTAAAAATAATAAGTTACTGAAAGTAAGTGATGTTTGCCATCGTACACAGACTCACTTGATATAGTTGGCCTTCTTATCTTCCTTCCAGTCTTTGTTGAGTTGATGCACCTTGCACGCAGTATATCGTTGCTCTCGCAGGTCAAATGCCTTATGGACTTCACTGAAGCCACCTTTGCCGAGCAACATCAACAGCAGGTACCTGGTAAATTGATAATGGAGATGTTAGATACAAGTGGCTGATTGCCTCATTGAGCCGACAAACGCGATTACGGAGTAAGGTTTCTCTCAATTATGGGGTTCTTTTGCAGTTTTTCGAAAATTAGCGTAAGAGATGTACTGGTACTAGTAGTAGTCTAGAATTGAAGTCGGTTAAAAATATAATGCTGTTCACTTATTACATACACTTACTTTTACAACTTAACTGATGAAAAATTTAATATATGCATTATCTGCCTCACCCACCAGTGAATAAAAAGTGCGATCTTTGTTTTAAAGTGAATATAAGTTGATAGAAATAGTTTTATTCCACAACTTGTTCCAACACTAAGAATCGAATGAAAAAGTTAATGAAGTGAAATTAAATTGGCAGTTGAAAGAATAATGCATGCAAAAAAATGCTATAACCATATACTCAGAATATAGAACAAATAATCAGAATTAGCTACTTGTCACATTCTTATGAAGAGGAAGTAATTAACTACAGTATTCATCATCTATTGATAGCTAATTACATGTAGTTAATCATTAAAACTAAGATAAGAGTCAATTGATAAAATATTTTTAGAATTTTAGTGAATACTTTTGCAAAAAGTTTTAAAATGTAAGAATATTTGCAAAAACATATTAAATTAGATCAGGGTTTCATCGTTATCACGTTATCTACTTTCGAAACGTTTTATCTTAAAATATTGTGTGTGAATATTTGCTTTCAGATTTCCTGGTGTTTTTATAGCAAATCTGTTATGTCTGCCGAATATTGCGCACTAATACAAAATACAACATTTATAAGTCTTATGTATTAATGTATGGATCTATAAGACTTATTAATATTTATATATCATAGCATCACGCCTTTTACGGCGGCAGTCGCACTTGCGACAAATCGGCCAACGAGGCAGTCAATTATTATTATTTAAGAAGAATATTATTAATATTAACAGACAGCAATATTCACAGCCTGTCATAGTCCAATGCTCGACTATGAACCGCCTCATTATATGAGGGTTGGTCTATCACCATCTCCATGCTTGGTAGATGGTTGATGATCGCAGTTCAAAAGGTTAAGGATTATGAATGTTGCTACACGGTTTCAGTTTAAATCACCCGTGAATTGAAACAAAGAGTTTCCTTTTCTTGTATAGAAGCACTAATTCTATGGATTGTCAGTAAGCATATGTGAGCACCATGTTGGACTTCAAGATTTTTATTTTTTTTTATTTTTATTTTAGTTAGTTATTAGTATAATTCGTCAAGCATGTCTTTGCATTGTTCTTACATATGCGTACAGTATTGAAATATGTATCAGAGACATTGTAGAACATACTTTTTTTAAAAAGAGTAACGAATGGAGTTTCTTGCTTGTTCTTCTCCATTCGAATCTACTTTTTGGAATGAGCACCTAGCTTCACCTAGTTTCACTGACGGACTGACTGACAGACTATTATTTATTTTGTATTTGTTGACGTTTCAAAAGTACCAAACTATGGTTTAATTGAAATAAATGCTTTGACTTTGTGAGAAAAATAGGTGCAGTAAATGTATTCTAATGTACCATAACCACATCAAACTTCTACTTATGCGTCTTTAAGTGATATTATACTAAAAACAATAAATAAAGATGTTACTTTGTAGAATTTATTACGCTATCGTGTTCGCATCCTCTTTTTATCAAACTGTACATAGTTACGTAAATACGAAAAGACTACACTTATTTTAGCTGAGTTGCTACGTTCATGTTATCATGGATCATGATAACAGGAACTGGATCAGCAATGGACAAAACACAATTTTTCCTTGATGAAAAAGGTAGTGGTGTACCTGCCACCCGACATTATGCTAAGCTGAGGCCTTTTGGCACAATTACTGTTTATTTCTTTTTGTAATAAACGAAGTTTTCTTTCTTTCTTTCATTTTCAGCTTTCATTAAGTATCACTTAGATAAAGGCGACTGTAATTAGGTTAAGTAGCTTGCTGGAGTTGAGCAGAATATAGATTATTTCATTATATATTTCCAAGAAAGATGCTTTTATGGTTATCTTCCAACCCATCCGTTTCATATCTTCCATACATGTAAAAATCATGTTGAAAGCTCTTGGTATAATTCCATACTGTTCAGTTCCACAGCCGCCTTCCATAGTATATGTTTTACCAGATCCTGTTTGCCCATATGCAAAAATACATACATTGTATCCATCTAACGCAGACTAAGTAACTTGGTAAGTTAGGTTAAGTAAGGGCAGGAAGGAAATCAATTCTTGTTTAGTTGTGAAATGATCTCATTACAGAACATTTTAGAACACAACCAACATCCTAGACATGAATAGAGTCATCTAGAATGTTTCTAATTACTAAGTGTAAGTGAACTCACCGATCAGAGAGCACAGGATGCTGTGAGAAACGGCTCTGATCTTCATTGTGTATTCGCTTCAGTTCCCTAATGTGAAGATTTCTTTCTCGTTCTAACTTTTCCATTTCTAGCTGCAAGTCCGCATCTTCCTTTTTAAGTGCACTCTGTCTCAACTGTAATGAGAATAAAAACATTCGTTATTTATTTATGTACACTATAATATGTTGCAATTACATATTTTTATACACGACGACATAGCAATTGGTGTTCCATAGTCTCTGGCTACACCCATGGGACATAAGCGTAAGGTTTTGTATGTATGTAGGACGACGTTATAATACAATGAGACATATAGGTGTTTAATAAAACTGCTTTACTTTTTTTCCAATAAAAGTAAACATCAGAACTGGGCCTTGACATTTTGAATTCCAATAACCAGTAATTTTGTAGCATTTCCTAAATTACTCGTTTTACTTTATAACCAGATATTAACACTTATTTATTATTCTTTACTAAATCACACTTATTCTTTCATGGATATAAAACTATGGAGCTTTACAACATTGATATTAATATGGAACTCCAAACATCAACATATTGTATATCATACAAGACCTATAACTGTTACAATTGAATAATTTCGCAATAACGGTCACTGAATACAATCCAGTGCTACAGAAATTTTCCACACATACATGTAAACAAATGTATCATGAATAATTGTTTTCGTTAAATAAACTATGCTGCATTAGATACGAATGGAAGTATAATTATTCATTACTATCATCATCATCATCTTATAGATGACGGCTGACCGAAGGCCCTCTCATACTAAGAAGATTTGAGCATTAACCACACTTGCTCAAAGTGCACTGGTAATTTGAAACTTATTAACAAGTCAAGGTTTCCTTATGATGTTTTCCTTCACCATATTATGCCACTGGTTTTCTGGTCTAAATAATCTTAGAAAGTATATATAATGGAAGCATACCTTTAATATTTCATCAGCTTCATAATACTCCTGATAGGTCATGCTGGGTAGCGGGTCTGGTTTGAGGAAGGTGGGTGCATCCGTGCCGTTGTGTAGCGGTGACGGTTGGGGCGTGCTGGGCGCGGCGCTGGACGCTCGCTTGCCTCGACCACCACCGCCCTCATTGTTCACTGGCCTCTTTTTAAATAACAACTTTTTCTGACGGTCTATTTCTTCTTTTTCTGCTGTTATTTCTTCTTGCCGCCTGAGGAAAGGTTAACAGGTAATATAAGTGATAGTAGTTAACTAGTTACAGTTCTATTGATATTGTAAAACAACAATACATTGGTATTTCCAATTTAATGGGACTAGCAGAGAATGGCCACTTTTAAATGCAAAAAGTTGGTCATAGAGGAATTACACACAATTGATTGAAAATAGTTAAAAAGTTAAAGGGAAATACTGGATGAGTCAATCAACACACCTTGTTAATTCTTGAAATGCGTATCCATCAGTCCAATTCTCTTGAAACGTGGCGCCGACGCGCTGCGTCACAAACTGGCCAAGCCTCAGTCTATTCTGCATGCACCGCTGCCTAGCCTCTTTCTTCTCAATTGTGCTTTTCTCATTTAACAATTTCTTTACAACTTCTATACATTTATTGATGTGTGATTTATGTTGATCTATTACCTGAAACAACATTATCAATAATTAAATAGGGTCATTTAAAATTTACACTTGTGTAGGTATAAATAAAGTATAAAATCTCTATGTTACCTTGCTCTGTGCTTGCACTTGATGTTTCAATTCTTCATTAGATCTTGTTAATTCATCTATTTTATTATTTCTTACTTCTAAGTCAGAAGACGCTTGAGTTTCTAACTCCTGTATCCTCTGGCATGTCAGTTCTGTTTGAACCTGTGAACAGTTACATCAACCATAAACAATACAATAAAGAATAAAAATATTGATAGTAAAATGTAGTGGATTAGGTTTACCTGTTTTACAGATGTGTGGGGTCGTTGCTGAGATGCCGAACGTAAAAAATCGGCACCGGGAGGCATTATCGACGAGGGTGACGGTGGGTACTGAACAAAAATTATTATTAGCTTGCATGTCATTATAGACACAGCTGCCATCATATCAAACCAAATATAATAGCGCAAATACATTCAACTTCAAATTTCAAACTGACCACAGTAATGATTACAGTCTTTGATAATAAAAACTGATTTATGCCCACAGATACATTATTTTCAATTAAGGAAAGCAAGTTGAGTCTTGCCTTCAATGAGTCATATAATGTGATCACTTATAAACATGATTATAAACTTTAGTGAATGTATTAATAACATCTCGCATATTTTCATTAGTGCATCAATATGTATAGTGGAGAGGCCATTCTGTGTAGTTTTTACCTATGACAGATGTGCAGACATTATTTGAATGGGTATTTCATATTCTTCACTTTAAACAAAGCTTAATTCATTGTGATTTAATTAATATACTCATTGCATTATTATAGTTGGCATATTTGCTACTGTTTGGTAGGTAGATTTGTTATTTAAAATAGTGCAATTTTACTAACCATAGGATAATTCGCGCCCTGCGGGGATGGCGACTTGGCACCGGCATGCCTTACAGGACTCGAAGAGGGGTGTTTCGAGAAATATTCCCTAATATTTTTGTCAGATGAATTGTGCCTTTGTTTACCGCCACCGCCCCCGCCGCCGCCAACGCCTTCTTCTCCTGGAAATATAACACAAATCATTATTATAACACTCAGCATATTATGATACACCACTAAGCTGCATAGACATCAAAACATTATAAGATTTTTAAAAATAGAGTCAATTCTTTAGGATTTAACAAAAGGCATTATTATTCTACTCATTCATTACTTAAAATACCCAATAATAACTCTTTTAAAATTCATAATTTTAAACATATAAAGAAAAACATCTCAGTATCACCCTGAGTTGAATTTAATATAAGAACCAAACATCCACCTTTAACATATTTTTAAGTAATAATTAGCCCCGTGCAACAGGGAGCAAGCACTTGTCACACAACAAGTTCATATCCAGGTTGTCAGTTTAGAACTTTACCCAATTGAAAGCACTGATTGTAATTAGTCATTTAGATATTTACCTTTCCGTTTCCTTTTTCTTTCTGGCATGGCTATAGTAGGTGTGGCACCACTCGGGGGCACTAACGCAGTGCCTGGAGCAGCAGTGGAGCCTCGCATAGCGGCAGACTTTTCCGGAGTTAAAGCGTCAACTTCTTTATCACTATGAGATGACCCTGAAAGTAGTTATATCTTTGATTATTCTTAATAAGTATAATTTATAAGTTATTTATATAGAAAAAGCCAACAAAGAACCTTGAGAGGAGACTTGCACTAAATGGTGAGCAATCAATTATACCTAAGTGCCAGTAAGTGTTTTTAGTACAATAGTATACTTGACTTTACTAGTTTATACACATTCTCAGAGCATTTACCGTAAATGTAATTTTATGTGTACTCCGCTATTCCAGATATATATTATATATTTTCCTTTCATGTTTTGTTGGATAGATTAATACTTTGTGTATCACAAAATAGACCCAAAGTAGTTGTTTTCTAATGCTTAGTTTCACTGAAACAACAGCAGCATGCATAAACACTTACAAGCCGACACACAAAACAAATTTACAAAGCATTTTGAAAGCAAAATCTTATATGTTTTACTGTTTGTCTAAATTATTGTTTATGTTTATGTTATACTGTTAAGGCAATTAGCCACAGAACTAATGTTTTATTACAAAAATTAGACCAGTAATTCATATGTGATCAAACTTTGTAAATAGTAATGTGAGTAATTAAGTTTACTATAAACAGGGCTTATTACACCGAATAAGACATATGGATCAACAAGTAAATACTACAACAGAACTACAAATTAACACGTCAATTAAATCATGAGCAGTTAACTCACTTTTTGACAAGGAGCTCAGTAGGCCGACGTGGTTTATGTTAGCTCCACTTTTATAGTCATGCATTGTGGCACGCTATAGTCTCGGTTGACGAGAAGAAAAACGGCACTTTCACGGTTCCTATCCGGCATCATACACGATAATGACGTCACAATCCTTCGTTTGATGACAGTTTTTCACACACAAGTAGTGTTCGTCCCTCAAGAGTTTGTAAGAAAAGGTTAACCTTTGACGGCAAGCCGGCGTGAAGTAAACACTGAGAGCACTGATCACAAACCACAAACATTGAGTCCACTTTTATCACTAAATCACAAATTACCTGTGCTCATATTGGAGTCCTGATTGTGTAGAGGTTGCCCCGTGTTGACAGTGGTTTGTGGTGCCATCTGAATTTGTGACCCAGCTGACATCTGTAAAGAAAGATGGCGTCTTTACATATGACTCGCCCAGTTTCATTCGTTATTACTCTTGCTCTCACTTGATTTCAACAAAACACTAACACTACCTACAGTTACTAATTACGTGTAAGGTAATATATCCATATCAATTATTTTACTATTTCTCACTTCACTCAAATAACCTAACTAGTTTGACAAGTTGTAAACGAAATGCCAGTCGCGACAATCGGATACGCATCCGCGGGGAGCGCAAGGGGGGTGGAGAGGTAGAGATCGTCACGAAGTTTGCTTCGAATGTAATAATAATAACGACGGGCGAGGCGCCATTTTACAAGGATACAAGGCCAAAAGCATTGTTATTTCCAGTGAAAAATAACTGCCTGCAGTTGTGTGTTCATGTATCCACGAAGAAAATTAACAACTAAGTTTAAGAACGAATATTTCTACTACCTCATAAGAAAAAATGTTGTGCGTTCACTCGCATTTGCACTGCGCTAGCTACAGGTCAACAGCCCGCGATTGCAATCGTGTTGTTGTTGACTAATTGGATTTTTGCACAAGACAATAATACTGAACAAGTGGTTACGATTTAATATTCAGATATTAAGTTTTTTAGGTAAAGTAAATTAGATATTCACTTGTAAATGAATCTAAGCAAGGGATATGAAATCCAGTTGACCGATTATTCCCGCAATGAGGTGGCGGTGGCGGCCGCGGCAGCGGGTGGCGGGCGGCGTGCCACCGACCGAACGAGTAGGTACGTGATATCGGCGCTCGTGCCCCACAACAAACTGCTTACTGGACGTGTTACGTAGGCGTCTGTGCCGACTGCCGCGATGTACCAACATATAAACACAGATAGGTCTACTATGTATCCACTTCAATGTGCGCGCCTATAGGTAGCTACGTATTATATTATTCAACCAAGCTCTAAGCGCGATAAACTTGTGTGCCGTCGTAAAGCAGTATTAGATAGATAAGCATACCTTTCTTGCTATGTACTTAGGTACTTATTGTGTATTTTAAAGCAAGTTTCATATTTTATCATGATAATCAAAAATAAGCATTGATTTACGTAGATATATTTAAAATAAATAAGTCCATTAGGAATTACTTCTTAGAGTTATGTTTACAGTCGGGGCTTTGTTTATGTCAGTAGTTCTAACTCGGTATACTTACATAATCAAGCAAAATTAATAGATTTTATAGCCCAACCAACAGTTTGTGTGTTTACTAAACACAACTTTTTTGCTTAAATAAATTATTAATAATTTAACAAAATCGTAATCGAGAGACACTGTCCAGTGCAGTGCTAATTAATTAGCTAATAAATAGTCACCAAAACAAGTAACCACTACGAATTTATGAATTAACAGACATATTATGACTTTCACTTTAACGGAAATAGTGTTTTTTTTATTTACGGTTGTAAAACCACACATAGTCGTGTGGTTTTAAACTATGTAAGATTTTTGATACATTTTTGTATTAAGTGGTATTTTTTACTGATTTTCGGATGACATGGAAGGACTCTGCTGATTTTTCTGGCAGACAAGATACCATGCAATGCATCCGCTGTGCCCAGTTTCTAGGCTATTAAGGCAATTTTCCATCGTCTTCTAGGTGGTAAGGGCAATCAGTAATTTATCTACTATAGGTATATTTTTCAACGTTAGTTTTTCATTTTCAGATAAAGTACAAAATAAACATTTTATGAGACTTTTTTAAATGTATATCAATAGAAGCTAAATGATAATGCTATCTTAACTATTTTCGCCCATATGATAGTCACGGATCCCTACTTAGATTATCATTATGATTTACAAGCAATTGGGCAAGTTTTTATTTCTTTATTTTGTATTAAGTAAAAATAACTAGCTGTTAGATTTATAGATAGACATAGGTTAAAATAAATAATAAATTCATTTTCAATCATGAATATGAATAGACACAATATTTACATTAGAAAGTAATAAGTGGTACATTCAATACACGATTCGTAATCTCACGCAGTAACAAACAGATTCAAACAATGATTGTTACTTGTGAGTGGGACATAGCCATTTTGAAATCATACAACGTGGCACTTTTACCGGGCCACAAGTAAAACACACCATTAAATGCCATAGGCATCAGGGTGTCAACATGACGCCACAACGGCAGTGCACAGTACCAGTAGAGACTTAGAGAGAGACACATAAAGTGTATTAGCATTATCGCGGTAACGTTGCCGTTCCGTATGTACTCCCTTCGGTGCCTCTTGCCCCTCCTCTCCCGTTCACAGCGACCACCTCCTGTATTAAGCTAGCAACAACAAAAGTCGCCTGCGAACGCAACGCATTTCGATTGGATCAAAACGATAAGGAAAATAAGGGACGACCACGTGACTTCGCTTCTAGTTAATAACACACATATAAGTTTCACCGATTGCTTTACTTACAAGGTTAAATGACGTCCGCGTTGTACAGATAAGAAAAATAATATAATCGAAAAACACAAAAATTGAGACGACAGAAAAGTTAAAAAAAAAAACATAAGCATGCTTCACGGTCAAATGGCATAATAGGTATAACGATGTACGATACTATTAATTTTAACATTCTGCTTAATTAGCAAATCAAATCATTTGCTTGCAGTAAGTATACTTATTGTCGCTGTGTCTATTTTTAGAATACAAACTACAGTGCTCGGCAGTAAACGAATGGAAAGTTAGCGAGTTGGCAACCTGCGTGTAGGGATAATAATTGTGTACAAAACTCAAACAAAGATACACAATCGGCACTGCATAATGTTAAGAAACGCAGAATTTATACAAGTTTAACAAAAATTAACAAAATCTGCCACGCATTGTCCACGACACATACGTGGCGACAAGGTGTCAGAAACACATTTACAGATAACAGAAAGTGAAGCAACGTCATCACAATATGTATGTATAATTAGCTGCTTCCTCCTATACTGTTTATCGACTTTTGGTACTGAATGCCTAATCGATTGTCTAATTTATTTCAGTAAAAATAACTACAACTAGCATCTAAAATTATTAAACGTAGTTGAAGAAGACATCTGATTCTCTTCTAGCTTTAAGACCTTTGATTTGATTGAATGGTGTCCGTTTGTCGCGTTTATTTCACTAATTAAAATATTATCTATCTTAATCCATAATCTGTGGATTAAAATCGATTTTTGGCAAAAACTCCATACAACTAAGGTCGTCAATTTAGTAAAGGTACTCTATCCGTTGTTCTTTATCTTATAGAATAATTTTACATCATAAACACATTTTGTTGTCTTTTATGAAAATAAAATTAAGTATTTGGTGAGTAATGGGTTCAGGTTTATGAAAATATGTTATATCTTTTAAATATTTTGCTTCTCTTTACGATAAGTAGATGTCCCAGTCCCGTAGGTGACTTTACGAATTCTATCCATTTTATAAGCTCCTCACTTCTTTTGTGAAATGGGAGCTGTTGAAGTTAATGCGTACCTAATTTACTCTATTTTTATGCCACTAACTAGTAAATTAGCTTTCGCTACAAATTATCAAGTTTTGTTATTTCAGACAGTTTCAATGTTCTTATTTTTTATATTAACAGAAAACTTACTGACAGTGAAGTGAATCAGCCAAAAAGATTTGTTGACAAACGAATCCCGAAAGCGTATGGATAGTGACAGCGTGCATTAGCGTCGCACGAATACTGCGTCTCCAATGTGAAAGACAATCAATACTCCGTCACATCCCTGTCCCGCATTCATTGTAGAAGCGCAGTTCTGCGGACCCCAAAATCCCCTCTTCCGGTGCGGGCGTTCAGCCGCGTGCTGTTTAACCCAATTTTCTAGTGCGAGGGGTGTGCAGGGCGCGAGGTGCGAGGGAGGGAGGGCGGCGCAACTTCACCGCAAGTGTGCAACAGACGAGGCGCCACGAGATTCGAACCAGAGCCTGCAATATTGATTATTTCTAGTGCCGACAGCGCTGACACTCACACAAATTCACTCTATTGCGTACCTATCTAACTATAGGGGTTGTTTGTAGCTCGTTTGCATGCTAGTTAATTTTCATACTTCTGTGAGCATACATAATTACTGCATTGAGGACAAGACCGATTGACCTCATCATATCGCCGCAACTAATCTGCCATCTAAAGATCTAAAGTACTTACACAAAAGAATTTCTATTTATAGCTTACTTAAAAAAATGAACACCATAATCTACCATCTAGGGGTGGGTATAACTTTGTATTAATAGCACACATTTAAATTGTGTAGATTGAGACCCGAACATTTCCATGTTCCCTATTTCTTTGAAAACTTCTTCAGCTGGCAAGTACCCGGAGCGGCGCGGCGTAGTCATGGCCTCATGGCACGTGTTCTTGTTTCCTCTCAACTGCGGATCGATACCGGCTTGTATTTTGGTAAGGGATTTATAACAAAGGTCAGGAGGGTTTTATTTTTACCAATTTTCCTACTTTATACATATTTGTTTTTTATTCATGTGTTTGTTTGATTCTATTGTAGTCTTTCAGATTTAACGATATGAAGAAATATGTCTATGAATCATTAATTCAGATAAAATTATCATGTTTCTGAAATGAAAGATTTCATAACCGATAGGGGAGGGGCATACAATACTTAATTAAAAATTTAAATAAATTATTATCTTTTCAAGGTCATCTGCAAGCTTCTTTAGCCAACAAGGCAAGTCAAGTGTTTTGGAGCAGCAAGTCATGAGCAGTTGTTTAATTAGTTATTTAATGGTTGAAATAAAGCAATAAAACTTTATCCTTAAATAAAATCAATCACTAAAAACTTGGTGTTATAGTTTATTGCGCGATCATAATAAGTCGTTTATAACACTATAGTGTGTTTATTATTGATCGCACTCATAAGCTCTGTCTCCTATACGATTACGTGGAACACCTGCCCGGTTCAAAGAAATAGGATTTGTCTTGATGGTTACGGTTATTTTACGCGTCTTTTAAATGACAAAGAAAAATAAGTTTTAATAAATACGGGTTTGGTATACAGAAGATATATACGCAATTCCTTTTTTTTGCTTGCTTACGCTTTAGTAGTAAACATTTTTGACGTTCATTTTCCTGTAGTTAGGTATGTTGGATGTAAATAAAGTTACCACAAACATTAATGTAAGTAGGTAAGAACTAAAAATAATGAAGTATTACTTTCAGTTCCGAATTAAATGGCAACACTGATTCCAACGACGATTGATAAAAATCTAATAAGAATTATAGTCTGCGTGAAGCAAAGTTCTTATCTTACTTATCGAATTAACTCAATAGAGATGATAATTATAATGTGGTTTGACTAGATCTCGAGTCGGTTCGCTGGAGGCAAGTAAAGAGTTGGGAGCGTGCCGGCCGGCGCGTGGAGCGACGGCGTGGCACGACGCGCGGCGCAGTGGGTCAGGCGAGGCAATACGGGCGGACCTTGCAATGTCGCGGCGTGACGCTCAGCTGACGGGCCGCCCGCCGCGCCGCCCCGCCGCGCGTTCATTGCCTCCGTGGCAGCGGACGAGAGCGCCCGCCTCTATGCCACACTCTCATCTGACTTAGTATTTACGATTGCCGTACTACTTGCGACGATGGATATTAAACTTTACATCAGTAGATTAAATGAAAATGGTTTCATGTGCAAAAATTGTGATAATATTTACAAGTATAATACTGTTGCTAATGTGTGTGCGTCTGGAATATAAATTTAGTTAATACTGAGTGCGGTGACGACCGGTGCGAAAGGTCGGCCTGTGTAAAAATAACTGCGGAACCGGGCGGCTAAGCGGTGGAATGAGGTTTGACGGCACATTGTAGCCGAGGCGGGGCGAGGCCGTGTGCGCCATGTTATAATTTCCCTTCGCGTCGAATGTGCAAACCAACTGACTGAACACTGCGCTGTGCCTACTTCTCTTTCTCTCAGTGCGGAATAAGCATGCTTGTTGTACGAGACAAGCCGCAAGTCGCCCACCTCTGCCAATCTGCCACAACCTCAGCGCTCGCGATTACATTAGCCATCTTACGAATATAAAATGAATTGTGCTAGTGAATCCGAAACAGTGCCTGTGTGTTTAGTAGCTATAGGTATTATGCATTGAAATATTAATTGGATTCTGGCATTCAAACTAAGTGAAATTTTATATCAACAGTAAATCTTGTTAGTGTTATGTACTGTTGACACACAAATTACAACACTCATTATGTTATCTAACAACGGAAAAAAGGAACAAAAAAAGAAATTTAAAATATTTGTTTATATTAAAAATATTTGTTAACAAAAGCACAATAATCAAATTACAAACTTAATAAATTAAAACATAACTTCGAGTAGGGTGAAGTAACTTTAGTAGGAGACCTGACTTAATCTAATCATATCGATAAGAGTCACAAATGACACGCACACACTGGCATAGTAAGATGTAGGTAGGTGTAGCTAGGTATCTATAGTTATAGTACCCATTAGGCAGAAAGAGTGGTGCGAAAACCGCGATTTCATTTCAAGCGCTCAGTGATAGAGGCGCGGGGCAGCGGGGCGGGGAGCGAGGCGCACTGCGTGTCGGTGACCCCGCGGCCCCGACTTGCCTACACTTCGAGGCCATACTTCCCTGCTCGCTTTATCAAGTTTATCGTATTTCCACTTTTAGGATACCAAGTCTTCGCAACACATCAACTCTCGTGTATGAATGTTCTACTATGAAACGTTAATGATGATGATGTAGCGATAATGAAATCAAGGTAACAGGTAAAGAGATAACTAACAATAAACTGTGCTATAAAATTCATTAAATAGTTAAGCTCTATGACTAAGCTTGCCATTTAGGATACAAATAGTAATCTGAAAAATGATTTCTATGACTAGTGTTATCGGATCAAAGGGCATTATCTGTTAGGAAATAGTTATTCGAGGCAGTTTGAAGTATCATTCATTAGATTAACTGAGTAAAGAGAAATAATAATAAAAAGTAGGATATTGTTGATTTGAATTTTAATATGGGAAAATATAATGTTTGGTCTGATAATTGAGAACAATTAGATCCATGTAACCGTGACAGAATGAAAACCTGTTACGACTGCGATGCATTGTACCGCGTACCGTGACAGGCGAGTGTAAACTGCGTACGGTGCGCTCTATACATGTACGATACGAAAATGGTCTCGCTGTTATTTTGTAAGGCTGCTATTTATAGGTGTGTTTACAGTACACTCTGTTGTATGTACGAACTGAGCGCACTACGATAATAAATGTTCTTAGGCACCTACTCAAAGGAATGTTAGTTGAACGCAGTATAACGTCACATCACAAAGTCTGGTTACGTGTTTTGAAACGTTTTAAATAACCATAATAACTAATTAAATTCTTACCGCAGTAAATGGGTCTCGTTATGATGACAATCGTTTTACGTTACACTCGTAGGCGCTTTCATATAAAAAAATCAATATCCACTGTTTGTCGACGAAAGCTCAATCGATATCAAGGTAACCGACTTCCTAAATGTAGCATGAAACGTAATAGACCTTCTATTAATAATGTATGCCATCATAGCATGGTCGGGCGTACGAGCGGAGCGTTAAAACAACCGACCCACATCGCGATTGTAGGAAGTTAAAAAGTTTGCGTAGGTTAATGAATAGTATACCGGTGAATGCAAATATCTACAATATTATCCATAAAACAACTCACCGATTTGTATTCGGGCGTCCGCCGAGTTTCTACTAGTATCTCCCTTGTGCTGACCTGTAAACACGCGATCAATGCGCTCAATGTAAACCAGCCTATTAGAAAACGTCTCCCCACTATTATGGCTGTTTGCCTTTTACAATAGGTACCTACATCGTATAATGCATTAAATTATATTGCAAGTTAAACTACAATTTTTAGTCGTCTCTGAACGTAGCTGCATACAAAATCGATAAGCTTATCACAAATTCATAATGCCGTATGGCTGGCAAGCGACATAGATACAAGTTGTATCAATGTATCAAATTCAACACATTTTTCTGAGCACAGTGTGGTTGTGCTCTAATTGCTCACAGGTAGCGAAATGTTTTTAGGTCGATAAGTCACAACCGTACATTTGCCGAGAAACTATTTATGTCCGTCCGCCATTTTGTCGTTGAATGACGAAATGGTACACTCAGTGACAAGCGAGACTGCCACCATCAGACAATGATTATGAATATTTATTACGAACTGATATCGATTGACTTCGCATTGGATTACCTAAGTAGATATAGGTATACAGGTACATAGTTTATGATAACCGCATTGTTTTGAACAAATTATTTATTAAGAAGGTATATAACTAGTCATTACTCACTTAGAATCTTTCCGGTGAGCAACAAAGAGAACGTGATCAATAACACAGATCATTTGAATAACAAATATAACAAAACAACGAACAAAACTGATGCCCTAGCTCGGCCAAATGACGCGTCATTAGGACGAAACAGGGGAGCGAAGTGCGTAGCGGGGAACGGACGGAGACGAGACACATAATAGAATTACATATCTACAACATCACTTGGTCGGCCGAGACGATGATGTGTGCACATACGTTTTGTTGCCGGCGACCGGCGAACAGAAAGCGGGGCGGTGGCGGCTGCGGGGCAGGTGGGCATGCCTACTGGAGCTGCCACATTATCAAAGATCACGTGATCGACTCGTTGCATGTCAACATCTACTCGCCCGCCGACTGGTGGCGCACTGATATAAATATCTATGTATGGCTATACATAACAGCCGGCATTACAGTGCTCCCTCCCTCCTTTACAATGTGTGGAGGTGGACTAAGCGACTTGCATTTCTGATTAATAAAATATTCACCTCCACAATCAGTCGATCGATACTGGGTTTGTACAGACCTACTAAGTAATTTGCTCGAATCAAAAGCTAACATTTAAGCCGGCCTTTGTTTCAGTTACTTAAATCGGTAGCTGCCTTCCATCGTGATAACGTCTACTAGACAACGAAACGTGAGAACTTTCATCCGTATAGCGAGTTACTATAACTATAACGGTTTATTGTAGTACCGTTCACCAAAATTTATCAAACTAACGTAAAATTATTTAGTTCGTGATGGCATAATGCAACGCACTATCAAATATTAATCGGTCCTTAAAGTAAAACAGCTATCGACAGGATTTATTTTGCAATGGTAACACGATATTGATCCAATTCAAATAAATTAATGACGAATGAATGGTACGTCTGCCAGTCTGCCTACGTCATTTTTATACTGTTTGAGACGCAAATAGATACTTCAAGTATGAAATCCAATCATATAGACAACAACGGTGAACTATTACTGATAAACCAACTAACCGAGTCTAACCTGAGCACAGGAAATGTGAGAACAAAAGAATCGTTTCGAAAACAACATTGCATTCACTTCTGATTTAACAAAGACATTCCTATACAATTCGCTGATGGAATCCATACAGATGTTCACTACAGTTATATGAGGTACTAACAAAGTTATTACTACTAAAATCAGAGTAAGAACGCCGTACAACAATCAGCCCAAATCGTATTCGTCATCGAGTTCTACCTTCGTCCAAGAGATAAGTACAGTCACATCAGCAATTATATTATTATACCTATTAGCTGTTTATATTTTATGAACAGCATAAGGACCAAGATCATAGGCCTGCTAACCTGTGACACTATGGCAGGCTGAAAACAAATAGTCTCTCCTAACAAAACTCGTTTGTAAAGAAACTAAGAATAGAATTCAATGAACCACTTGACTAAACAATCCCATTCTTCTATTATTAACTCGTAAACCGAGTAAACCCAAATAGATTACCTAGAATATCATCTATTCAATCAATATCCGTGGTGTCCTCTTCAGGAGTTTCAATCGGTCGTAGAATATAATTAAAGAACTTACAACCTGTCTGATTTGAAGATTACGATGTGGACGTATGTATTTGTCATCAGTTCATCGATGACCAAATAAGGCTTCTTACTATGAATAAACCACCAGCTTTAATAGTTTGAAACGTGAAAATCCATATAAGTTGAGAATGAAAAGCAATTTCGAGTTATAACTATTGGCCTAAAAAATACTGTGAACAATAATTTCGATTCGGTTACACCTACCATGAATCAAGTTCAAGTTTAATGACTGACGCATTATCTGAGAAATACGAGGCTCGCATTGAAGCGGAAACGATATGGTTTTATGTCACCCTACGACAAAACGGCGTAGTAATAAAGCAGCAATACAAACTGACCTTGGCGCCTAGGAAGCGCGCTTCCAGCAGCTCCTGCTTGCGAGGATCCAGCGCCGCTTGGAAGTGCTCCATCTTGACGCCAGCACCTGTTGAAGATGGTGCATGTTACAACCCATGTATTAAAGCATACAGATGTTGTACACAACGACAGGCCTTTTTATAGGAACACGAAGGAGATAGGTATTCCAGGTGAAGTCGTCCAAATTATTAATGTTGCTTATCAAAATGTTTATCAAAAAAATTAAGAACAACGCATCTCCAATTCTCCATATGCGTATATTGAAAAATTCATATGTAATTTTTAATCTGATTCATAAATGGTACAAAAAGTAAAGTGGGTCAAGCGAGCTTTCCCAATTTATGATTACCACTTTTCCTACAAACACATGAAACATTTCCGTAAAGCGATAGACACTGTACAATGTGTGGTGTGTGGTAAGAACAACGCCCCCTATAGTAGATGGACATAATAACGTGACATTCCAAAAGTGGGTGTATGTATTGCAATATCCAGGTGTTTTACGTTCAAAAAGATGTCAACATTAAAATAAGAAAATAGTTTAGGACTGATTTCATTAATAACAGCAGTCTGAGATGGATTGTGTGAAGAATGATATAGAAGAAAAAAGCATTTTTAGTACATCCAATAGCGGAGAATTAAAAAAAGACATTGTTGTGCCGATCCCAAGAAGCCTGAGATAAGGGCAAGAACGATAGGATAGGATATATACTAGGTGGGATTTATGTTAGTTTTTATTTTTTTGCAATGATCTGGTTCCATTAACTAATAGCGTCTTTGCGCTATAAAATACATTATCGCACAGGTAGAAATGCAAAGATTCATGGTACTTCAAGGAAATCTTAATTTAAACTGTCAAACACCAAGTGATCACCGGTGACCGCGACCTATTGTTCTTTAATTGTGTCTATAAAACCGGTACTCGACGAGTTAAATAAGTAGCCCCATAACAAATATTTTATTCAAAGCCCGATTCTGGTTACACTACACATATCTGAGAAACTATTATGGCTTTTAACTAGAGCACCATTTTTCTTGAGACTCCATGGTCGTATGGCTAGTCACTCACATGGAGGTATACAGATAAGTCAGAACAGACACTAGGATTGAATAAGTCACCAGCAACAGTTGGTTTCGTAACCAAGTTGGCGATAGGTAAATACTCTCGGTACAATTTGTTAGTTGCTCGATCAGGGTGTCCGAATCATTAATAGGGCATTAAATAAAAGAGGATTCTATTTAACACCACATAATTAGGACGTTTAATTAATTATAACGTAGAGCATAATACGCACATAGTTAACCGCGATAAGAAAATTTAAAACCGACACGTTTGAGCAAAGTGGCGACTGTCATTGCAAGAATGAGATCAAGGATCACGTTCAGTGTGCAAATAGAGAGACATATTAATATGACCTATAACATTATGTTATATTGATTATTGTATGATCACGGTTTTAATTAGGTTTTCTTATAATTGAGTATTTTTCGCAAATGTAGGTCGTGTGGCATGGGTTCTTGGGTTTGATTATCTTAGATAGAAGAGAACTATATTGTAAGGCCCTGCTTCATCGCTTTAGTCTCAGTTACTCTAACTGGTGGATAATTAGACGAAGGTCATTAGAAATGTGTATCAGTCAACCAACTTCCTGCCGATTTCAATAACCTATCTCAATCCGTTATCAAAGATTGATTTTTGACATTAATTCTGTGGAGTAAACATCATCATAACATCACGCCTTTTATCCCCGAAGGGGTAGGCAGAGGTGCACATTATACCACTGTACAATGTAACACCCACTTTTCACTATTTATGTTATGAGTCCCATGTAATAGGGGGTGAACCTATTGCCATATACCGGGCACAATTCCAGACTCCGTGCTACTACTGAGAATTTTTTAAAAATCCAGTAATACTTTGCCCGACCCGGGAATCGAACCCGAGACCCCTTGCCCGGCAGTCGCACTTGCGACCAGTCGGCCAACGAGGCAGTCTGTCTGTGTTCTGTGGAGTTTCTGTCAAAAAATTTGATCTTAATCGGTAAAATGTGAAACAGGCCATATAAGTGGGTGTGCTGTTATTGCTAAATACTCATAAGAACCCACGTAGATTGAAGGACGACGGTGTAATGTTATTTTCGATGTGTGATATTATACGGAATTCTGACAAGACGTTAAAGTTTCTTATTTTCAGCCATCTATTTTTGTGCTATAAAGAACCAAATTATGTCATGAACTCAACTTTTTTTCACACAAATACATCTGACCAATGACTTTCTGATTAATCATCCTTTTCATACGCATGCTGTACCAACAATGAATTTAATATTATAGAGCACTGACTGCTTTGATAAACCACACAAATGTTATGTCACCAATCTCCATTACAAACAATTGGTGATGTCCCTATCTTATATGATCAGATCGGGTACAGAATGTACCATATGTAGGTACTGAAATGACGTTATGTGGTCTACATACGACCAATTTAGATAATAGCTGAGGACCCATGGAAGTGGTTATATCACCACATCCTCTCAGCAAATGTGAATGCAAGCGTTATAATAAAATGTGTTTGAAGGTCATTGTTTCTTCAAACATAGATAACAACAAGCAATTATAATTTTGTGTTAAAAATACAAATTAAACCCATATAATTAAATACGTAGGTACTCAACAGCTCCAAGTAGATGTTCTCTGTTTAAAATTGATCTTTTTGCTAAAGAATAGGTAAGCTAGGGGTAGAGGTCGGAGGGGGGCAGGGTTTTGGCGCAGTATCTGGAGCAGACAGTTGAGTTGCGAGAAGTTAGGTACAGTTATTTATATAGATACGTATGTATGTTCAATGTACATATCGATCGCCTCCCCGGGCCACTCGCCACTATGATCTCACCTCCATCCTTTGCGACTCCCTTTCTCCCCACACCCCACCCTTACCTACCGCATAACCCCAGAGGCCTTTAACGAATGTCGTAGTCAAGTGAATCGTGACTGATTCATTACCACTAAGTAACTGATAAAAATCTTGAAATTTTAGTTGAAATGATGATTTTAGGTAACATAAATACAATGACAGAAGACAGACAATCCACTTTAAGTTGATAATGAATTAATAAGGTAATGAAGAATGAGTAAATGAATGCCGAGTAATGTATACAGACGAGGCTCATAAGTCATAAGTGATCATAAGTCATATCCTGCCTGTAACGGTATGCACACGATATTTCATTTAGTTAGGGGGGAAAATCATCCAATGATATTTAATTTACTCGCCTTCTCACAATAAGGAGGCAACTACAAGTAATAATATTACTTTACAATGTGAGACCACTAGCAGCTGTGTGTATAGCATTTACTGACTAATTAAGACAAAACAAGATAGTAATTAACATACAAATATTCATTTAACTTTAAATAAGGTTAAAGTAATGCTCTGCATCATTTTTATCACGAGCATAAGATAAAATTGTATTAAGTAAGTGATATATCAACATTAAATAAATCGTACAAATATTGAGAGACATTGAGAGTTGAAAACGAAAACACTACAGGTCGAGGAATTCATGTCGTTTAACTAGTTTTTATATTCCGATACTTTTATCTGACGAAACAACGGCTTCGTTTATATGGCCATTTACTTGAGTCGATGTTAAGTGGATATATCATTAGTACAGTGAGCGGGGGGCAACAGTAACTAGTCTACAAGCTCGCTTGTTGTAAGCTCAGCTGGTTTTCTTTTTTTTACAAAGGACCGTAAAACATTTCTGTTCATGTTTGCAACCCCGGGGACACGAAAACGTCTTGTTTTGTTCTACTCGTCATGAGCAATTACACTTACATAGTAATGAATAGGCCACAAAAACATTACTACTGTTACACCTTTCAGTTAACTGTTAAGAAAAATGCTAAATTTAACTATATCGAATCCAAGTCAGAAACAACATACCGTGGTTAATTAGAAGTGAAGATGATGACGTTCATTTTTTGCTATGAACAAGTCATAAAGCCATTCATCAAGCTGTTTCCATTACAGGAAAATGTTTAATAGCAACACGAGAGAATACAGATACATATTACAGGACCATAACATGACTAACATTACAAAAGATACTGCAAGAATTGAGACATTTTAACGCCATGTCATCATGACACACGTGAAAACTATTTCGGTCGCAGTCGAAGTAAGATTCAGTACCTAAATATAGGATACGGATAAATTCCAAAACCTTTTCACTTGTATCATGGAAATTAAAACAGAAGAAATATGACTAAGATATTTTAACATGAAAAAACAAGTATCTAATTATGATCTTTTTAATCATGATCTAATTTAAAACAGACATGAAGTTAGGTACTTAAAACTTAATTGTTAATAGATCAACCATTACTAAGTTAAAATTATATCCTAGTTAGGTCCTCTTAAGTTTATAGTCACCAGATCCAACGCTGTTGGAACTACTTGTTGCGGTGGCAAGACAGGTCGCCGCAACCTACAGACTGTTACAAATTTTGAACACCTACTAGCCAATACCTGCTTATTTTAATAAGCATGTCATATGATATGACTCGAGTCCTTCTATCAAGAAAGTCTAAAAGACGGCTTGTCTGAACAGCCTGTCTATAGGAACACATATGTACTGTATAAAACTGCAAAGTGGAGATGGAACCAAGATCGCCTATTGTGTCTGAATTATCGTACGGATGTTGCTAGTTAGTCGCCAGTTCAGTGCCTCTGACATGTTAGGGGTCCTGAGATCTTTGCAAAAAGATTAAGACCATTCCATTTCAAAAGAGACTGTATTGTATGCGTTTTGATTTGTTCATAACGTTGTGTGAAAGACATTAATTCGAAAGATCTTTCAAAATAATATAAATGGTTAAGAACATTTGATTTTCAGCGATGCTACATACTACATGTGTTTGCCGAGATAAATAGCAGTTAACTCGTCGAGTACCGGTTTTATAGACACAATTAAAGAACAATAGGTCGCGGTCACCGGTGACCGCTTGGTGTTTGACAGTTTAAGGATTAAGGATACTGTAACATTTTTTCTGTAACAAAGATTGTATCACCCGACCCCGACCATTTTTTTTGCCAAAGAAAGTAGGTGCACTTAATATCGTTGAAATATATATAGTATAGTACAGCATCCTGTACAAGCCAATTATATTTTTACAAAAAAAAATGTTCTTACTTTAAAATTATACAACGTGCACAATACGTACACAACACAGTAAACGCGTTTAAGATTTTCTGTTCTCTTCAAAATTATCCATTATTTCATAAAACGTGTTATTTAGTAATATCAATAAACGACACTACGAAATTATTCACGAGTTATTTGAGTTTAATAGAAAATTAGAGAGTGTGTCAAATGCACTAGAATTCACAGAGACGCTACAGCTGATCGCGTATTTATGTCAACAGTAGAGCCAGCCAATAACTGAAATGTTCGAATTAAAAGCTTCGCATCAACTCTTTATAATTAAATCCCTAGGTAACTTCAAGTCGTGACATTTATCAAGAAGATTTTCTAGTTGTGGAAAACTTGTTAGTATTAGGTTCAATAGTCTCCATTCAAAGTGTCGCCTGACCACTTGTTATGGTACCAGATTCCAACCAGTCCTCTCCAATAGATGTTAAGAACCTATAGAACTAAACATCTGAATTAAAATACTGTGATACATCAATGATAAACAAATCAGTTATAAGCTACTGCTAAATCATTGTTATCGTAGTAAGAAAGGGTGGAACACAGTGACAAAATACTCAGTGGTAAAGTAGCGGGACAGATGTAGGCCCGTCGGCCATGCTATGTAAGACAAGATGGTGTGTTATGTGTTGTGGTCGACAAGCAGTCGAGCGCAGACGACTGCCAGCCGTCAGGGCAAGCAGACACCCACCCTTGCAGCGGGAGTTGCGGCGGCCACGCTCGTTCGGTCGATCGCTCATCGCGAACGACTCTTTGAAATGCATCTTCCAACACCGCTCCGAACTCCATCCACATTCACGTGTATCATCGGCACGCCAATACACAATCCACTCACTGTCACCAAACACGTCACGATACCGATGAAATTCAAGCCGTGGCCGGGCGCTCTTCACCCACCGTGATACGCACTCGGAACGTGCCGCATTTTCAATTTCAACACATCGACGACAAACACCAAATGTTTCGTAGGCACGGACCAATGCGACAGTCGGCCTCGGGCGCGGACTGGCGCGCGATGCGAACGGCCGTCGCCGCCGCCTCCGCCGCGAGACCGGACCTCGCGTCTCGGGGGCGAGGATGCGGGAATCGGCTTCGGCGCAATACCCGTCACGAAAATAATAGGAACAGCGAGTGCACCTCAGAGGCGCGACGCGACGCGGTCGGTGCGAGCGAGACGCGGATAAACACCAGACTGTTTACTTACGGTGTTCGAGCGCGGGGCTGCGTGGCGGGGTGAGGGGCAATCGCCTGCAATCCGCACGCTGCAATTACTGCTTTGTACTACACTATTTCATCCTAACTTAACGAGACCGAATATAATATTTACTTACATGTATGAAATAACCTGCCTAACTAGTGGTTGAAATTCCACTTGCGGCCTGCACTGAAAACAATCTACATCTAACGCAACCGACAACAGAGATAATGTGGATAGATAGTACCTAACAAACTATTACAAAATTATGAATGTACCCTGGGTGCCAGTTAATCTCAAACAACTTTAATTTGTTTTCAGGATTTAGTTCAATTAAATGATAATTCAAGCCTGTGGGAAATTAAAGCAATCTCGCAGATTTTATTTTGTGGCAATTTTAATGACCAAGAGCAGGTCGTAAAGTACTTTTATTACCAACACAAGTAACCGTTACCTTGTTACCCACCAACAGACAGTTGCCCACTAAAATGAGTAAAACAAGAAGCTATCAAAGAGTTCAGGGTTCACACCGTTCATTTCATTGAAATTTTCAGCTGAAGAGTATGTAATAATATAGCTTTGTTTAGTCAACTAGATGCCAGAATAATGAGTATGATGACTGATGACATTATCAATACAAATACTTCATTGTAATACCATCATGACAACAATGGATTTCAAAACGAACAAATAAGTTAGGTAATTTTCATACGGTTGAGTCGTTAAGATAACAAATTAAACTGTTTTAAATGTCATACAATAGGTATGTACTGAATATTTACTTTCGTCTCAAAGCTATTCCATTAATTGTTTATCTTATCATTAATTAAAGAGGTATTTAATTATCATCGCTTTTGTCGCACTTCAGGACACTACGACTACGAGGATATTATACTTCATGATGTAAGTGACGTCGAGTAACTTTTTTCAGAGTATGGGTGCTGTGATAAACTGATAAGCGATAGATTTGCTTGGGCGTTATCATGTAATTTTTTAATATTGGTAAGTATGGCTAGTTTTGATGATTTGATTTGACCAGTGCGTGTGTAAAGTGGAGCAAGAGCTTGACGATCAATCGAGTAGCTATGCTGTGCATCGAGCGGTGGTGACTGCATTCCGACGCCCCTGCCCGCGGCCCGCGGTGCCAACCCGCACCCCCCGTCCTTCCGGCGCTCGTCACGTGACGCGCCGATTAGCTGCCGACTACCGAGTGCGCCACAAACACCGAAATAGAGTGAGCACAAATCTCGAAACTCATGTTCAAGTGGACTTAGATTTAAAATAGCATAATTCGATACTTCTTCCTAACTTTCCCACTGCCTTCTACTGTACCTACCTAATTGACTTAGAATGCCTCCCTTTGAGGACGAGAGTCCAAAACTCAAAGCTGTCCAGTGTCTGTGTACGCCTGTACCTAACTAAGCTCAAGCATCATAAGAAAAAATATTATAAATTAGAAATTTTACTGCATCACTAAGTTGCGCTACGAAGCGTAATCGTATTTAGCAACAAGAAAAAGACGACAGGATCAATACAAGCTGCAAAATGTACACGTGATCGCGCCACTATACATATAAATCCCTCCCACAACGGGCGCCCCCTAAACACCCAGTCCTCCCTTCCGCCTATGTCGACACTAAAGATATTTTTTCCGCGAGACCAATATTATCAACGTCAATCACAAGATAAGCCACAAATCTAAACAATCCAAAGTAAATCGTATCACAAATTGATAAAAGACAAATAAATATCCTTAAGGACAAGTATTTAACGTGGCAATGAAATAATATTGAATCAAATCAAAGAGTCCACAAGTTGTCAAGCGCTGCGTGAAACCAGTTCCCGTGGGCGAAAGGCGACGCGTACGTAGCCCATTACCGCCGCCGCGCAACCCGACCCGCCCCCGAATAACACGGTTGCCATTTGCCCGGCTTACGTCAACTCCAGACAGAAGCCCAACCAAAACTTTTCAAAAGAAATTCTATGTTTCATATAAAAAATAACGTTTTCGTTTAATGATGAAAATAAAGAAGCAAAAAAGAACCATTAAACACCTGTTCAAATCTTACGTGAACATCTTTTTTATTGCCGGGGTCTATAAATCAGAACGGTCGCAAAAATTATGGTTTTCATTTATGTGTTGCTTTAGCGGATAAAACAACACTATACCACTTACTACAACATAAATAAAACCCGAATTACAATTAAAACTAAAAAAAAAACATTCGTTATTTAAAGATTCAAGTTAGCTTTGTGTTGGGGTCGCGCTTTACACAAAGGGCTGATTGCCAACAGCTATCGGTCATGCGATCGATATTTCGTGTTCGTGTACAAACTGAGTCTAGGCTTAGGAGTTTTTTGAATTCTTCTCTAATTACTTACGATAACAATATATATTTTGTATTTAAAAAGATATTTAAAAAGTGAAAGTAATAATAACAGTTAAGCAGGTTTTTAGAATCACAAGAAATCATCACATCAAATCATATTTTTGATACGGGCCGTATTTACCGGTCTTTGCAGTCACCGATGAACTATGAGTAAATACAAAAATATTGTTCGAAACCGATAAACTTGACATAGTTATTTTTCTAACAGGTGAAATAGACATCATCAGCAGTAGTCATCATTTTTACGTGTGGGTGTTAATCAGAACTCAATTAATATGACGTTAACATAAGTACATGCTGGTATAGAAGTAGCTCTCGTTTTTCAGTTCACTAGTAGATTGGTTAGTATAACAACAGTCATCATAACATTCATAACAACAGAACGCAGTGGTTATAACGCGCGTACAACTTTCTATTGGCAAGCCAACCTCAGTTGTAGTTTCTTTGAAATCCAGACCACTTTTTACTTAGCTAAATGAAAAAGTGGTGTATTCAGTCGACAGAATTGGTGGCGGCATCGATGCGCCGCGCAGTATTTGCAACGGATGCAGCAAAATGAACAGTTCGTTGACCTCAAGCGGACCGGGTTTCACTCGTATAGCGCAGCGCCCAGTTCAGTGGCCCTATTATGAGTTACCACTTTATCATCATACTCGTATTCTAGGCAAGTTAACTAACAAATTCCTTGTTGGCTCTTGCTCAAGTTCAAGTTGTTAAAATTTCGGTACCCAGAAACCCCATAGGAACCGAACAGGTTGAAGGTACGCGTGACTTAGCAACATTTGTTCAAAATTGCTGAAACGTTTTTACTTTCACTACCTCCAAATAATAATCGAAGTTGAAATTAGGTTTTTAAGTTCGAGACTATCTAGGTTTTTAGCATATTCTATGTTATTGGGTACATCGTTGATATATGAGTTCATATCATACATATATATCATACATGAGTTCGGGTCGTGAGTTAGGCGATGATGTTCAAAACATAAATTCTATTGAGTGTTCGCAGTCGCTACAAGTCCAGTCTGTCCTTTTCATACGTTACGTACGGTGTTGGCGTGAGCGAGTTAACAACATGAGATTTAAATTAGAATGGATTGAATAGGTTCGGCTGATGCAACTCAGCGCCACATTCACAGCGCGAATTAATCGTAAACGCGCGCAAAGGTAAACGTGGCAACAACGCAGACGCTTCTCTGTAATTTCGCGCTAGCCACCATTACAGAAAACCAGCTCGACTTCATTGAATATGAGCCGTTTTTATCTCATTACTGAACCACTACAGTGCTCATTTTATGAGGTTTTAAACGAAATGCCGTCTCATTGTCGATTAGACATTTTGTAAGCTTTGTATTTTTAAACATTTCTATGGTTTCATGTAAACCATCTTTCAGGTTAGGTAAGTATGCCTGTAATTATTATTAAAATGAAAAGTTTCGCATGAAAGCATTTATTAATTCGCGTCACAAATACTCAAGGTCAACAAAACGCGCATGTGCGGTGTTACAGTAACTAGTGCCATTAAAGATTTTTAAATGCCCCCCAAGGGTAAAATGCTCAAACACTCACTCGATCTCAACAGCTTGTTTTGATTTCTGAATGATAGGGATAGATCAATGCTTACAAATGTTATGATTGTATTTTTTCGGATTTTCGGTAGGAATTTCAACAATTAATAATTAGTTGTTCAAACATTACTTGATTTGAAACATATCATCAAAGCAATAGTTGGTGGTAGGTAAACAAAGTGCGTCATTAGTTTTATCATCAGTTGTGCAGTAGGAGGTGGGTGTCGGCTCCGGCATCGATCCACGTCTTATATACACCTTTTTACATACTTCCTCGCGTCCTATGTGGGGATTCAACCGCGATGCGTCAACCGATGCAAGGCACATGCACCTCGCACCGCACCTCACCGCCTCATCTCCCCTCTTACACGTAACTGCCTGTTATACAGACAGATCTCAACAGAGACACATCGCTATACTCAATACTTATTGATTCCAACCGTACACTATAAGCCTTCAACCTTGAAACGATGACCTTTCATGTGTATAGAGAAACGCTTATAATGTTTATTTGCACACGTGCAACCATGTATCTACATCTACCTAGTTAATTACAATGATATTATCAACATTTGTGTAAATTTTAATTTTACAAATTAATAAAATATAATTTATTATTGACTGCTCATTTTCTTCTTGCTGCCCTTATTATAAAATCTCAAATTACTTGGGGTCGGCACAATACATTTGTCGAACTAGATATATTCATAATACGATTATTTTTATATTTCACAGAAATGTAATCATAAACTGCAAGAGTACTTTGTGCATGGATGGAAACCGCATAGAACATACTTTATTAAGTAGCTGAATGGCTACGTGGAGTTCGTGGTCCCTTAGTTCTAGAGGTGAATGACACCTAGTGATCGCATTTGGCATCGCGTTAGGCCCTCTTAGCTGGCTAGTTCGCAGCACCGATCAGGTACTTAAGATTGGTTGAATATTTGCAGGACAGGGCGTGGCACGTGCCACGAGATAGTAGAATGTTAACAATGAGATGCCTTTTGCAATTGCGCTGGTAAGAGAATCAATCGGAGACACAAATATCACTGCTACGTCTAAGCCAAGGTGCGGGCACCGATCCAAAAAACGGGCGGTTTACTCCTATAAGTTTGGCAAATAAAAAGATGCATAGATGTAAGAAGTAACATATTGAATCTGCCGCAAACCGTGTCTGTAAAAGGCGCGGTAACGTATTTGTCGGGCCAGACTGGAATGACCTCGAGTCCTTATTGATCTGGTGACTGCTCGTCTGTGACGTCACCGTCACGTGACCCCTTATAGGTACCAACTTTAGACAAAAATATTTGCTACCTACTCTAAACCGTAGCACAGAAATCGTGTATTGGTAGTTTTAACTTTTACCGGAATATCAATAAAAGTGTTAGAAATTACTGACAATTAACGTTACGAGCTTACGAAAGGAAAAAGTTGACTTACCTGGGTGCAATACTTTCTCCGTCATGCCTGCGGATCTAAAGAGCACTCCTTCGAATCCTGCAAAAAACAAAAAATCAGTCACATTTCACGCAGAATAATGTTTAACGGTCTTACATATTTTAAGTTATTTATTTAGTTCATACTCCATACCAGTGGTATTAATTTTAGTAAAACTTTTAAACTACTCGACAATGGTCTATCCTCTTTCCGTGAAACGAAATCTGTCTGCAATACAGCAGCAAGAATCCTATCATAGTATGTTAAATGTATAAAACGATGCTGCTTTATTATACACATGTGTAAAAAGATGCGTCACAACTCACACTCGTTTCGTACCTAGCTACGTCTTTTAGCATACCGTGTGGTAAAATTCCATTTTATTTTTATATGTTTCAAAGTTTGACTATATTTGTCTTGTTTTAAACAGTGGTGGTTCAGTTACGTCACGGCACTCGTGTAAACCACTCGCGCGCGTGTTTGTAGTTTTAACGTAGTCAAATTAATCTTATATTGACGCATCGGCGATGAACACGCGGTCTGATAATGGCCACAGGGTACAGTGATGATAGTACAAGTGACCAAGAAGACATCAATCAAGGTCCAGGAGATAGATGGATGTCACACATTTTAATAGATGAGGAAGGAGGAGACAAAATAGAATTGGTAGAAAACTCTGCAGAACCTACTAATAACGAAATACAAGTTATGGAAGAAGATAATATAATAAGTAGACCAATAAAACGAGGAAGAGAAGAAGATGATGAAGGAAGTTGGACTAAAGTAGTAAGAGACAAAGAGAAAAAACATAAACAATTTAAAAAAGAAGTCTTTATATGGAGTAAAGAAAAGTTACCTAAACAATTTGCCATAGCAAAATTGTTTAACAGTATAGGTTTAACTGAGATAAATCATGTTAAGTACATAAACTCATATAAATTAAGAATCGAAGTTTCGACTGAGGAATGTGTGAATAAGTTATTGGATTGTCAAGAGTTTCAAACCAAAGGTTGGAAGGTGTACAGCGCCACGGACGTGAATACCTCATATGGAGTTATACGGAACGTGGATTTGGAGTTAAAAGAAGACGAAATATTAACTGCGATTAAATGTCCTAGTAATATTCAAATAATATCTGTAAAAAGGCTACACAGGCGCCATGAAAGCGGCTGGGTACCGAGTGAGGTAGTTCGGATCGGCTTCAGTGGATCACACTTACCAAGCTTTATTTATATAGATTGTTTACGCACCAAGGTAGATCCTTTTGTTTTTCCGGTAACCCAGTGCTCAAAGTGCTGGAAGTTTGGCCACATTAAAACAAGATGCCCATCTAATAAAATTGTATGTCCTAAGTGTACAGAACAGCATAGTAATTGTGAAGTTAACAAATTCAAATGTGTGAATTGTCGGGGCGACCACATGGCATTGAACAGGAATTGCCCGGTTTATGCTCGAGAGAAGCGCGTGAGAGAACTCATGGCAGAATATAACTGTTCCTATTACGTAGCGTGTAACATGTACGTGAAACCTCAGTTGCCACTTGATTCACAAACAATGGGACAAAACGAAAAACCGAAGATCGATCCCAATAACAGCTTTAATGGATTAAATATTGAAGAATCAGGTAGTAGTTATAAGTATACAACAGATCTATTCCCACCGTTGTTTACGCCAAAACGAGCGAGTTCACCGCAAGTAAGTAAACAAAAGAAATCACATTTATATAATAAAAATGAATCGGTATGGTACGGACATCGGGAGTCGTCGGACAACATTCCTAAGCAACCAACTACTACTGATAAGGATGCCAGCGATAATGTAAACAATACGCGAGAGGTACATTTTGACGAGTTAATAAATCGATTGAAGGATATTATTTTTATGCGAAATTATAGTATTAACGAAAAGTTTTATGAGATTATTAAGTGTTGTAGTAAATGGCTAGTGTTAGTTTTTGTAGATCGTATATCTGAGTGGCCTATTGTTAACAAGTGTTTAGAGTTATTTCTTGGACTAAATAAATAATGGATCCTAAAAATAAAATTGTTCAGTTAAAGTTACTGCAGTGGAATGCAAGAAGTCTGAGACCTAAAGTTAAAACTTTTGAAAATTTTCTTTTGACTAGTAAAATTCATATTTGCATTATAACTGAGACTTGGCTCGAACCTGACAGTCACTTGAAAATTAGTAATTATAATATTTATAGACAGGATCGTGATGATTCATTCGGCGGCGCCGCTATTGTGGTACATAACACCGTTAAAACTCAGATCAACAGTTTTACATTACGTAATCGAAACATTCAAGTACTCCATATTAAGATATTTAACTGTAGTTTTATAGAAAATGTTGTAGCTGTTTATTGTCCACCTAATATTCAAACTGTAGACGAGGATTGGAAAATGTTATTCTCTAGTTGGTCTAATAAAACCTTAATAGGGGGAGATTTTAATGGACACCACACCAATTGGTCATACAAAGTTGATTCCAGAGGTTCACAAATCCACGATGCTGCTGATGAATGGCATTATGTTTCTCTTAACACTGGAGACCATACCAGACTCAAGTTAGTTTTAAATCAGGTTCAAAAAAGTTCACCAGACATCACTTTTGTTTCATCAGACATAGCTTTGAAGTTCAAGTGGACTGTTCTAAATGAAAATCTGGGGAGTGACCACTTAATGATTCTTATCACTACTGAAATAACATGTCATAACCTCACAAAATCAATACGTAATTTTAAAAAAGCAGATTGGAAAATGTATTCGGATATTATATTAAGTAAAATAAATACTTTTAGATTAACAGGCAACTACCAACAGATTTATAATCACCTTGTAGAATTAATTAATTACGCGGCTCAATCAGCGATTCCAGATATTAAAATTCCTAAACACCCCACTAGTAAGTTTATCCCTAGATCATATTGGTCCCCCGCATTATCTAAAGCGGTCGCAGAACGTAGATTGGCATTGGCACAGGTTAGGAAGAACCCAACGCCATTAAATTTCATGGTTCTTAAACAAAAGGTTGCTACGGCACAGAGGCTAATCCGTATAGCAAGTGCAGAGTCCTATCGACAGTTCTGTGACAGTATTGGAGAGACAACATCTAGCAGTGAGTTATGGAGCAAAATGAGATGGCTTAAAGGGTATCGTAGTAATAAAATTTGTCTAGATGAAGAGAAGGCTACTACATTCTTAAGGCAATTGACTCCAGATTACGTAAGCCCACAATATCCTGTCTTTAGGTCAATTAACTCACAGTTAGAAGCACAAATCACTACGCATGAACTGTTAAATGTGTTGAAGACGAAGGATACCGCTCCAGGGGCAGACGATATTTCCTATTCTATGATTTATAACTTTCCTAACAAACACCTTATAATCGAGTTATTTAATAAATGTTTGAATGAAGGTGGAGTCCCAATTCAGTGGAGAAATATTAAAGTAGTACCTATACCAAAACCTGGACGCGATCCGTGTAACGTAACCTCGTTAAGACCTATCTCGCTCATATCTTGCATCTGTAAATCATTTCACAACATTTTAACAAGACGTCTCGAATGGTTTTATGAAAGTAAAAATCTTTTCTCTGAAAACACTATAGGATTTAGAAGATCTAAATCGTGTCTAGATAACTTAGTTCGCCTAGTTTCGCAGATTCAAATAGGTTATACAAATAATCAAATGACATTGGGATGTTTTGTAGATATAAATAATGCATACAATAATGTCGATATCCTGAGAGTAGTAAATAAACTGGATGAAATGGGAGTTGGGGCTTCTATATGCAGGTATATATGGGAATATTTAAGGGAAAGACATCTATCTGTGTCAGAAGTGGGGAGTAATGTTTCGATTACAAGATGGACATGCATGGGATTAGCGCAAGGAGACCCTATGTCTCCAATTCTATTTAATATCGTGACAAGTGACATTTGCAAAAAGATTATGAGTGTATATGTATCACAATATGCGGATGATTTCGTCCTCTATATTTCTGGCCAGAATGTTGGACTTATGACGACTACCCTTCAGGAAGCATTGGATACGTTATTGAATTTGTTAGAGGTTTTGGGTCTAGAACTATCTCCCTCAAAAAGCAAGATCTGTTTATTTTCTAGGAGAAAGTCATTACAACCAGTAAAAGTCAATATTAACAATACTAACTTGGAAAACGTTTCGACCGTTAAATATCTAGGTTTATGGCTAGATTCATCTTTAAAATGGCGTAAACACATAAATGAAATTTATGAAAAGAGCACGAAATTCCTAAATGTTTTTAAGATTCTGGCAGGTTCGTCTTGGGGAGTCCATCCATTACATCTAAGACGACTGTATATTGCTTTAATTCGTAGTCGATTAGATTATGCCAGTTTTCTTTTCGATAATAGTGCCAAGACTAATATTTCAAGGCTAGATAAAGTTCAAAATCAAGCCATGAGAGTAGTTGGCGGTTTCGTGAAAAGCACCCCAATTCACGCGATGGAATCGGAGTTATGTTTGCCACCATTGTTTGTTCGAAGAAAATATTTAGCCACTAAATTTTATTTGAAAGCTAAGTCTGTTGCTAATGGCGAAACCATTACAATAATATTAAAATTAACTTTGCTATGTGAGCACAATTTATATTGGCGGAATAAGAAAAAACCGTTGCTAACTATAGTGAACAGTGAGTTATCTAATCAATCTTTACATAGTTCCAAAGTTCTAGAGATGTTCTCACTGTCAACATGGATGGCGAATATAGATATAAAATCACACATAAATCTAAACATTTGTAATATGACAGGCCCTAAAAGATTTAATTCCTCATTAGAACTTCTTAACAAATGTAAAGGAACTATAGCACAGCATTACCATGGGTTCTATCAGATTTACTGCGATGGGTCCAAGGACAACAATGGAACGGGAGCTGCATTTTTTGATCCACAATGTAACACGGGAGCTAGTTTTACATTAAACTGTAAACTATCTATTATGACAGCAGAATTGTATGCGATCTCAGAGTGTCTGTCTTATTTAATGTCTTGCAATAATATTAATTTTGTTATACTTTGTGACTCCAAAAGCGCTTTGCAGCATATAGCTCGGTGCACCTCGGGTTTACGAGGCTTGCCTGTAGCTTATTCCATATTAGAGACCTATATAAGGTTGAGAAATATGGGCAAATTCATTAAATTCCAATGGATCCCGTCGCATGTGGGTCTGATAGGAAACGAAATAGTAGATAAGTTAGCCAAAGCAGGAGTATATGAAGGAATGTCTGTCAGCCATTTACCCTTCTTCACGGATATGCTAAGAGATATCAGACATTCATGTTATAAAGTGTGGAAAGAATATTTTGACCAACGATCTGAAGAGAAGGGTATATGGTATAAAACTATACAATCCGAGCCACCTAAGATTCCTTGGTTTACTGAAGTTAAGATGAACAGACAATTGTTGGTTACATGCTTACGTTTGCGAACCGGGCACATTCCATTGAATGCGTTTGGACATCTAATGAAAGTTATTAATTCTCCTAACTGTCTGACTTGCAATGTAAGGGAAGATGTCTACCACGCTTTGGTGGAGTGTTCTCGGATCGGCGTGGACCGGAGAGAGTTAGAATACGAATACAGCATAAATTTAAGAGATGTCGGTATGTGTAACTTGATTTTGTCTAAACCTACATCCAAATTAGCTTTTAAGATATGTTGTATAATTGTTAAATTAATTAAGTTAAGACATTAGTTATTACTTATTTTTGTTATTTACTTTCACTATGGGGCTGGCATCATCGCTTCGCGATTAAAGCCTTTTTCTTAATAAAGATTAAAAAAAAAAAAAAAAACAGTGGTGGTTAGATTTTACGTATCGAATGGACATTCACGAAGCGGTATTTTGTCCAGCGCATTCCATTTTGTCATATACAACGAACCGTTTACTTTACGAATGCATAATTCGAACAACTCGCACCTCTCTGTCTAGCTAATCCGTGAGTAGAGGTGTATAAAAGGATGAAGAGCAGCGGATATAATGCCAATGCCGCCCTCAGGGAATAACGGTATAGAGCAGGTATGGAACACGAACTGTCTTGGAAGTATATGCATTAAGAACTTATTCGTATATTTCGTATGTATGTTTTTAAGGTCATCGTTGTGCCAATTTTAATCCAGGTAAAGGAAAAAAACACACTGTAGATAACTACTCGTTATTGACACAACAACAAAACAAATTGTGGTTCTAATAACTTATCAATAAAGCAGTTAGGTAGAAACACGAGTAGGTTTAGTGGTAAACACATTACCATCATTTCCATTGAAAAACACATACCTAACTTTACGTAGGTATTTATATAGAACAATAATTACTATTAGATTGGATTACCCTTTTCTCTGCGTATCAACACGTAATGTCCTACAATATGACTAATTCCTGTGTTCGTATTATTATCGACCACAATACGCACCATAGTGCAGTAAGCTTGCGCAACCAAAGTCACCCTTATTGCTTACGAAATACAGGCTTCGACAAGGTCAAATTTTTACCGCTGACGATGACGTGCCGTCGACTGTACTACGTCGCAAATCTGTTTTTATGGTTTTGGAAGTTTTAAAACGTCGGAACTTTCGGATTACGTAAGCATCGATACCTACCGAAATAATGGGAATTTTGTTAGAAAAGTAAGTTATTTCAAAGAATTATAGATACAAATATTGGAAACAATTCTATATGAATGGACTAGGCAGATGTTTTAATGTAAATTTTGCATCTGCAGTTTATTCAATCAATAATGGCATACATATAAAAAGGATCTTCAAACAAAGACAAAAATACTAAACATTTTACTTATTATAAGAATATAAGCCTGGTTACTGCATGTTACTCTAGAGATACTGGCCTTGAATATCAAATACCTACCTATTTACCACTTTTTATTTGTTTTAAGTTGGAAAAGTGTAAACAGGTTTAATAGAGGTGTTTAAAACAACTGAGTTTTTCACTTCCATTAACATTTTATAAAAAAATGGCTTCTTTTTGTAATTTAGTTTACAGTTCAATAAGCTTAATTTCTAGAGGGATTCATAAGTAAGTAGATTATTCTGGAGAATGTAGAGAGTAGTGAATTATGCCAAAAAGTATTACAATAGCATACAGTGGCTAATTAGTCTAATTGCAGATTAAATTATAACATAGATACATTATTGCTATTAAAGGATAAAGTGGGAAAAATAAATACAACCCACTGCACAATCCAGATAGCACTTTTCAGAATATTTGTAACAATGACTGTAATCTGGCTGATTGCACAAAGTAACACTTTCTAACATAGACAATAAGATCCACTTAGAATTGGATTAGATCTTCTTGTTCTCTAACCTCAATCACTTTTAAGTTCAATACATTGAACAAACTATTTATATTTCGAGGAAATGAGATTACCTACCTGTATGATACATTGTTACATGAAAAATACCGCGATTTAATTATCTCACGTGTTTATTATCAACCTGATTTCTTGATAACATTCATTGATCTGAATATAACACTGCATATAACTTTCTTATCTACCATTTTGAATATTGTATATTTTTAAATGTAAGTAAATAAAACGAGTACCCATTGCATTTAGTGCAATGAATACTGTAACTTATAACTTGTGACTTAGCAACACAGTAGTAAATACCATAATAGATTCGTTCGAATGTTCTTGTAATGACAAATAAAACCGACAAGCCAGGTTACAGGTCATGCATGTCACGTCAAAACACTTGAAAGCTAATACAGTAAATAAAATTACGATCATCTTAATCAGTACGTGATAAGTAAAACCATAATTCTAACCTTAGATGCGAAGCAACGTCCAACCATGATATAATAACAGTAAAAAAGTTCACATCAAAATCCAGCCGCTACTTAATTATTGTGATCACTATCACGCGACATTAAGTTTCAACAAATCAAAAGTTTCACAGCACCAAGTACGAAAATGGCGACTAATTCAAACTCAAATATTCTAAAATTTACAAACGTAACAATCTATACACTGATGTAGAGTAAATAGTATCACTTTAAAGATTAATAACACTCATTCACAAACTGAATTCATTACAGTTTATTATTAATATGCGGATAAAAATAAACTTTGTAGATATGGCTAAAATAGTGTATTTTTTTCTTCAAATTCGCAACCATAATGTATGGGAGCTTTTTTTAATTTACACACCTGTTTATTTTTGGTGTGGAACAGGGTTATTGTCTATTGGTATTTACGTTGCCCTACAATTATAAAAATTTGAATTATGCGAAATAAATAATTAAATGGTTAATGCTTATTTACAAAACCAAGCAAATAAATATATTTAATTAAAAATATAAGAAATAGATAATTGGTTCCAGTGTAAAGTAATAACTAATAATAACAATACAATACAATAACAACTAAATAATAAAGTCGTGAAAATAGTAAATGATAATTATGTACATGTTTTAAGATTTAAAAGATTTGATTTATAAATAAGTGGTAGAAACACGATTTGATGTTTTTCAATGTGGAAACTATACCGTATTTTCCACAAATTAGTAAGTTTATTCTTTAGTCGAATATATGTAGTCAAGATGATTATTTATTTTTTATGGTAATTCCAGATATTTTTTTAGTATACGTCAAAACGAAATGTCACATAGATGTCAAATCTAAGGGGTGAAGAGCAAATACGTAATGTAAAATGCGAGTAATTAAACAAAATTAAGTGAAATGTTTTGTCCATACTGAAATGTGAAAATAGATTAACCATGTCTGTCATAAGCGAACCAGTGCTCAACATCATTGTGGTGGGCTTCCACCACAAGAAAGGGTGCCAAGTAAGTAGGCGTCGTTACTTTCATAAATCGATAATATATTTTTCAAAAAAGATATGTCAGAAAGCTTGGACTTACTTTTCGAATTAAATCAATAGTCTAATTGTCTATCTGCGTTCTCTGAATAAAATAATTTAACTCAGTAAGTGAACTTCTGGATATTATACGGATGCCGTGTACCTTGTCTACTTCAATAATAAAAACAATATTACAATTGGTTACGCTAGAAAAAAAACAATTTTTATGAATTTTCATAATCTTGTAGGTGGAACACTGTTATCCGGAATTAGTACCTGGCCATCCATCAGAGTTGCCAGCTGCTTGGCGACATTTACCTGCCTTAGCCCTTCCAGATGGTTCCCACAACTATTTGTCTGACACAATATTCTTCAATCTGCCTGGACTTACAGAACCAGCACACACTGTGTATGGTGTGTCATGCTTCAGACAAATTCCTGTTGAGGTGAGCTTAGTTTGCCAAAGTGTTTTCTTTTGTTTTCAAACATATTCTTCCCTAATACAAATGTATAATTTAATTTTTTACATTATTTCGGATTATGTGAGCTTATGAATCTGGGCAGCTTTATTTCAACTTTAAATTTTTATCTAAATGTTTTTGTCTAATACTGATATATTTAACTCACATTAAAATTAATTAGTGATCTAAACTATGTGTAATTATTTACCTTGAATCATAAGGTTATCCTTTGTTTGAATAGGTGTACATAAACAAATAAAAATAATATTTTAAATTTGTTCTGTGAATTAATTGAGTGATTTTTCTATAGCAAGTTGTGCAAAAGACTGAGGACATGACTCGCAGCTCAGTGCAGAAGAGCGTGTGTGTTGTGTGCAGAGCTCCACTGTTTGGCCGCCTCGCTGTCAAACTAGAGCTGGTAGTACGGGCCTGGTTCCTACAAGGAGATTTCTCACAAACTAAACTTCTAGAAGATGCATACATTCATCTGAATAGTTGCCCAGTACAGATGGATCAAATTGTTGAAGGTATTTCTATTAAATCAAATACTATTAAAGGAACTATTATTTTAAATATATTGTTATAATATACCTTGTCTGCAGTAACAAGAAATAATAAAATACTGAATGTTTAAATATCTTTTTAAATAGTTAATGACTAATATTGTGTCCACACACAAACAATATGAATCATCTTTAATTTTATTTTTATCTAATAAGATATTCAATAAATCCTTTTATGTTAATGTTAATTAATTAACAAATGTTTTAAACTTCTTGTAGATAATACGCAATAGCAGTTTAATCTGTCAAACACCAAGCGGTCACCGGTGACCGCAACCTATTGTTCTTTAATTGTGTCTATAAAACCGGTACTCGACGAGTTAAGGAGTTGAGATAGATAATTTATTAAGTATTATAAAATGTAAAATATGTCCCTTTTTACTGTAGTTAAGTATAGTTTATCTTTATAGTATTTGTTTAACTAATTATATTTAATTGCAGGTTTATCAGTACAGAGATTAGTAGAAAACTGGAGGCACAAAGCTTTGTTACTGTTTAAGCTATTGCTATTGAGGCGCAAAGTTCTTATCTATGGCTCCCCAGCCGGGCCGCTGTCTACAGCTTTGTTAACTTTGATATCTTTATTACCACTTTGCTTAGAAAATGGACTGCACCGTGCAGCAAATGTTGTGTAAGTTTTTTATTATAACAAAGTAGACACAAGTAATAATACCATTGAAGAATGTATTGTTTACTTTTGCCGTTTTACTGTTTCAGGCTTTCTAGGCCATTGTCTCCTATTCCTGCTATACCTATTGATAATAAACTCCAAACAGAACCTGATACTGCTGAAATTGCACAAGAACCTCTGGGTCAATTACATAATGGGTCACACCAGATTGAAGAACTCTCCCCAAAAGAGAGCGGAAATCTTTTAGAGGAGAAAGATCGTGTCAGTAGACAAAGTTTTGATGAAACCCTACTTGGCGATACAGTGGATCGTTCAGAGTTGTCAGGATCTAGAGAAAAGTGTCACAGCATTGGCGAGAAATACAAACCTCAGAAAAGTGTGACAGAAGCACAACAAAGCCCTACTATGGCTAGAGACATGAGTGTTGATGGTCTACATAATCTCACCGAGCAAGTTGATCAAACTGAGTGCGGATTTCCTCTGCCCTTGTTTGAGGAAGGCTATCTTTGTCTACCTTATTTATCTTTGCAGTATCTCGATCTGTTATCTGACCCTGCAGTTCATGGTTTTGTTGTTGGAGCATCAAATGTTCTATTCAAACAAAAAAGGCAATTGTTTGATGTTTTGGTAGAGCTAAATGAAATGAGGATAGAGACCTCTGACATGATGCTTCGGAGACAGTTGGCTCTTGGTACTGAAGATCTTCGATTTGCTGACCATGTGGTGCGGCATGGTCCAACTCAAGGTGATGCATGGATAAGAGAGCAGTTTGCAAGTTACTTAATTTATTTACTGAGGACCTCTTTATTACCAGGTAACTTCTAATTATACACATATTACAATAATATGATTTATATTTATAAATGTTTACTAATAATCAACTTGTTTCCTCATTACAGAAGGCTGTCGAGAGATAGATTCCTACAATTCTCAATTTATGACAGCTTTCAAGTCAACTCCTGCCTATCAACAGTGGCTGATATCTACCAATAATGGAGATATAGAATCTTTTATCAATCTCATGCCCATGCATCCATTTTCTGGACAACTATCTGTGGCTGATATGAAGTTAAAGTTTGCTCAGTAAGTTCACTTAACTTTTTTCGTAAAATTATGTGCTCTTGTTAAGAGTAGTGATTTAAACTGTCAAACACCAAGCGGTCACCGGTGACCGCGACCTATTGTTCTTTAATTGTGTCTATAAAACCGGTACTCGACGAGTTAATGTCTACGTTTGTATGTGTACAGCACAATGTCTACGACGGAAGGCGGCAGGAAGGTGAGCGCGGCGGTGGCCAGCACCGGGCGCGCCGTGGCCACCACCTCCCGTGCGGTGGGTGGCGCGCTGTCGCAGGCTCGTGGCGCTCTCTCGGGTTGGTGGAGCGCTCTCACAGCGCCCGCGCCACCGGATGCAGCCGCGGAACACGAGTTGCCGTCAGCGTCCGAGCTGCCTGCAGAGCCAGAGCTCCTTCCAGCAGACGATCGCACCAACTCGGATGCAGAGGAGGCGGACACCGATCTCCAGCATGACAACAGGACACAGCTGCGACCCGACAGCCCCGACCCGCCCGACAAGTCCATAGACGACACCACCATCAATCTCAATAAAATACAGGTCATATAGTCATCTCGTGTCATTTAGAATCTTGTTATATAACGCATTGAATCTTTCTAGTTGGCTCATTAGGATTTTTTACGATCGAGTAAAATGATAATATTAATCAAATTATTTAAATGTACATAAAAAAAAACTGTGTTCTAGGACATCACTAATTACTTCACTAGGAATACTTATAGATTTGTGATAAAGATTGCTATTTAGGATATGATAACGAGGCATGTGTTTCTTGTGTTAGTAGTAATCTTGCAACAAAATAGCCTACACTGGAAAAGTTCTCTCATTGTATATTAGTCATATTCATATCCAAGTGATAAAATATAAATGTATTCTATCAATATTGTTCTGGCCTGTTGTAATGTTTTTATTTTTTTAATTTATTGGTGCTCTTTTTTATCGACATTCCTATTTTATTTGTATTAGATTTTAGGTGTTAATAAAATAAAATACTGATTTAACTAATTGAATTTCCTTTAGTGAATAGTAATACACACAGACCAGTGATTTTGATTTAACACAAATATGCATATTTATAAATCGAGGCTACTTATGAAATGAGATTATTTTCAGTATATTTTATTTGCGCTTCCGTTCGTATGTAAGTCTAATTATGAATATTAATGTAATATATTACGTTGGCAACTGTAGATACCAGCTGCGCTGGGTTTATACATAGTTTGTGATCTCTTTAAATACATTCGTTTTCGTAGTTACTTCATTGTAGTAACACTTAATATTTCGAAATAAACATTGTATTTCATTCGTTTTTTAATATTTCAAATGTGAGAAAATGCTCTCTATGTGGTTAACTTATTATGTAATTTGATAATAATAAATTATGCAAATGTAAGGGAGCAAAAATACATACGATGGTAAATTTTAACGATGTGATTACTCGCCAATATCTGATATTGTAAACGAATAAAGTATTATAAATGTGACATACACACGTTTGTTGTTTCTGTAAAAGTGGTACTAGATGTAAAAGGTAAATAACTTCGATAGCGAATCTTTGTTTTATTTAACATTCTGCAGACGCGGGTAACACAAAATCAGATGTATGTTATGAAAGTACAACTACAGATCATTCATTACAGTTAAATAATAATCGATACACTTAAGGTTATATTTATATCACAATACTGGGTCAATCATTATAAATGCATTACAATTCTGTCAAAGTAAATTGTCTTCATTTTGCAAAGGTACTTCTAATAATACAGTCATAATTGATTAGGTACACTACGTTGAAAGATCTCTGAATTTGATTTCCATCGTCATAAAAAAAATTGGTTTCTAGCTACGATGTGAGTACGTCGAGAACAATAAAAACATAGCTTCCTACCGCAAATAAAAGCTGCTGTCTTCGGCTTAACATACTATGTCACCCTACCATCGACGCGGAGTCGACTCCCGCCAGGCAGCCGTGCGGTCGAGTATCACCCCGGGCAGCGACAGTGCCGCGTCACACCGCAGAGTCCGGCTCGTCCCACGGCCACGGCGGGCCCGCGTCCAGCGCGTCCTGTCGCCACAGCGCGCGCCCCGCCTCGCCCAGCAGCCGCATGTTGTACGGCTCCACCATGTTGCCCACCGACGCACTGCTGCCCGCGCGCTCCAGCCGAGCATCCACCCGCACTCCTCGCTCGGCTGTGCTTACTGAGCTCTTGTCGCCCGGCAGCAGGTCGAATGCACTGCCCACGTCACGCGGCGACTCCAGGTCTGTGACGTCGGAGCGTGGCGACAATGACGCACTGCCATTTTCCGCCGCCCCCGCCAAGGTGGACGTTTCCGAGGATGGGCCAGGCGAGCCTATAGCTACTGGGACGGGGAGAGGGGCGCAACCCGGGGACACGAGTGGTGCGGACTCATCGTCACTGGGCTCGTCGCGTGCAGGGCTGCGCTCCCGCGAACCCCCGCCGCGCGACATGATCTTATCCTTAAGACGCGACAAGCGCTCCGCCGAGCTGACCTTGCGAAGTATCTCCGCGGTGCGACGCAGGCCGCGCAGCTTGAGGTCGACGATGGGCGAGCCCGTGCGTGTGGAGTCCTCCACGGACAGCGAGCGCGCGGCCAGGCCGGCCACGTCCACTGCATCTTCCGGAGCCACCAGCAGGGAGGAAGGGCGCGAGCGGGGCGCGGGGGCGGCGCGGCGCGGCACTTCGTCGAGGCGTGCGGTGCGGGGGCGCGCGCTGAACGTGATCTGTCCGTCGGAGTCGGAATCGTCCTCGTGCTCGACGTTGAATGTGACGGCAGGTGGGTCCCCAGTGACGCGTCGCGCGCGGAAGGAGCCTCCTCCCTTGAGTATGGATGGGTCGCGACGCAGAGGGCGCGGGCTGCCGGCCGGGGTGCCGCATACTGAGGATGCGCCCACTCGTAGCTGGAGCACGCTCTCCTCGTCTGAAACATATGCTTTCATGTATTAAGCCGGAGAAGGCTAAATTATTAAATGCCTTAGGTTCAAAGAGAGAGTATAGGATCGAGGTCGGTAAAGGACAGGATAACCGGCGCATTGCGCTGGCGCTGAAATACCTACTCTGCGGTCGACCCGTTCAATTTCGAGTAGCTCGCTGTGCTGCCTAGAAAGTAACGAGGGTCCAAAATCAAACTACGATCTGTAACTATTGTATATTTATTTATCCGTAAATAGTGGAAATGTTTGCCTAAAAGAAGGAATAATACAACAAGTCTAGAAATACAGCTAAAAGGACCGTCAGTGACCAAAATATATCACAATTAAAATATCCTTAATTACATAGAATCTTCAAAATCCTATCTACTCAGCAATTGTCTGTAAACTCCTACACTAAAGATATGCTACAAATGACAACAATCATCTTATTTTAAAGATTCTCAATACAATCAGTACAATCAACTACTCTTAAATCGAACTACCTTAAATTAACCATCGAAGTGGAACTTCTAAATTGTACATAGAAATAAATTGGAATTGTGGTCTGTATCATAAAATGAAAATAATATAGATGGCACAGGATATGTTTCATCCAAACATATTAAATTAAACAATCGTTTTGGTCACTTGATTCTAAAATGTCCATGCTTCTTATTGTATATACGTATGGAATAATTACAATGAATAAAATGAAGTATAAGGGCACAGCCTACATTACTAACATAAAATGGCAATATGTACTGGAATGCTGAATAAAATAGTAGCCAATTCTAACAAACAATCTGCTTTGGAGTATCGTACGTAATACGTAATTATACTATTTGCACAAACTAGAGATCATTACGTATTTGAATTCGTCTAACCAATCGATATTACTGTATGTAGTACATTGCTGGAGTGAACATGACATGAGGTATAAAAGTTCCCTTCAAGGTTCATTCATTCTCTTATACAGCATGACACCTTTCTCCCAATTTAGGGGATAAACATAATAATGGAGATTGCATATAGATTGGTATTTCTACATAATTAATTGGTTACAAGTAACAAATAGTATAATACAGTATTCACTACAGCTTAAGGTATACAATTAGCAAATTGCGAACAAATAAATTAATGCGAATACATCGATTTCAAATAATACTATAATACTTTTTCTAATACAATTAAACAGGAAATATGCACAGTAAACAATTACAGGAACAATAAAACTAAATTATTTGAGTCTCATGAGTTAGATGCATATTTCTTATTCGACTTTAATTAGCTTACTGCAATCTATTACTATAATCACAACGCCAATTGTCTTTTCTATGTTTCATGTGCACAAACATTATAAGTAATATCAATTTATTACATTTATAAAGCAATCATGCTTAGAATTATTATTTGGAAAGCCATGTGTATTGCGAAGCAAATGTGGCTCAGGCTTAAATACTTAGCTAACAAATTAAATAATTCTGAAATTGAATAAATAATTATCATTATTTTGGCACACGTTTAAATGCCATAGCAGCGAGTATGCTTAGAAGAATAAATGATCACTCATCTCGAAGTATGAGTGCAGGGTTGACTTCACATACGTGTTGCTTGTTTACCGACTGGTACTTTCTTACTGGAGGCGTAAGGCAAGTACCGGTTAGCTCGACGCTGGATGTAAGCTCAGCGTGAGGTTTACAGGAACACATCATCGGTGAAGTTGACGACGACATGGTCGCGCCGCGTTTCTGGCTCGTCAGCAGGCACGGGTGCGGGAGGGAGGGGAAGAGAGAGTGGGAGGGCTTCATCCCCTGGGGAGGGAGAGTGTGGCGGGTACTCGCAGATGGTGCGGAGGGGCTCACCTGGGTGGGAGGGGGGCTCCGACTGTAGCACGTCCTCGAGGGCCTCCTCGTTTAGTGTTTGGAGCGCGCCGCAGATCATTTGCTCCTCCAGAGTTACCTGCCGCCAAACGTTAAATGTTAACACCCAACAAGCAAAAGCTAAAATACTGAAGTAGGTAAATAAAAACATTCAATAATAATTTCTTTAAATGATACTATAGTTTGCGTCCTAATTTAAAAATAAAAATAAATTAGCATGACAGCTACAGGGTTAAAACTACCCATATAATCAGGGCTTGCTCAAAATATGAACATGATGTTATTTTTCTACTGTAAGTACTTTAGGTTTTGGATAGAAGTTTTACATTTACAAGTGCGATTTTAAAGTGAAAGAGAAATAATGACTGTAAGACCTTACAGTTACTAGTTCCCGCCATTAAATGTTACAATTGTAATTGTATATATTGATTTATGAATTATGAATCACAGAAAGTGCTAAATCTCAAGGAATTTTAAAAGTGTTCCACCGAAAACTGGCCACTTTCATGGTTAGAACAAGCAAACGCAAGATATTATTTTTTCCGTTGCATTTTGTATTAAAAATTCATAGAGGTATAACAGGAACCTACAGTAGTGCACACACAGACTATTTATATATTTGTGTTCAAATTCATAATGGTGCTAATAAAATACTTCGGCAAGTGCTCTAGTATTATAGTAGAAAAAATATAATGTGTAAAAAAATGACAGTGCTCTAAATGAGGTCTACATAATTGTGTGGTAATGTTACAATAATCACCTGATACTCCGCGTATGGCTGTAAAATATACGATTCATTAACATCTAGCTGGAATCTAGCATTTCTACTAATACGTAGCACCAAATATTAGTACCTGTGTCTAGCCCGGCCCGACTTACTTCAATAGCACAGCGATATTAATAATATTACTGAAATACGGTTGTTTCCTAAATTTTATTTTAATGTCCGTCTGGTACATTAATTTAAAACTTTAGACACGTATTTTTTCTTTTCTCACAAAATTAAATACTTTCGACGATATATTAATTTGAAATATCGTGTGACGTTACAGCGTGCCATATTTTGTAGCACGTTATGACGTAACAACCTCCCACTCCTAAACTTGCCATTTCATCTAAGTATTGCAACTTCATACGAGAAAATAAAAAAATACGTTTCTGATATTTTTTCATTATCTAACTGACGGACTAATTAGATTTTTAATTTTGATACCCTGGAAACTACCCAATTGTATCAAAACATGCGGAGAGCATAGCAGTCTTGGACTACGCGGAGGGGCCAATGGGTACATAATAATTCAGGGCCCTTATAAAATGTTTGTTTGTTTTTTTAACATTAGGATTTTCTCCTGTATCGTGGGTGCATTTACAAACATACAAGTTCACATACACATGACACCCAGACCCGAAACAACAATTTGTGGAGTACACACAGATTCGCTGCGTGCGAGATTCGAACCTGCTACACGTTGCGCGACAGCCGGTTGCCGCGCAACGTGAAGCGTGTCCGTCGTAGAAATTGTCGGTCCTTCAAGGTGACCTGAGGATGGGGGGTCTGGGCACGAGTGCCCCTTGTGGTAAAGACGATACTGTGCATAGCAATAAATGCCGTGGAAGTAACCTAGTATTTCTAATTATAAGATGGAAAGAAGACTTATGGACTTATGTAGAGGAAGCCCTTAGTCTATCAGTCTGTCATGGCTGTTGATGTGTGTTTGGTACAATGATATTAATTATTTTCCCACATACTAAAAACATACTACTTTTACCATTTATTATCTTCTTTTTGTGTATTATAAAGAGAGAGGCGTTATTTTTTTTTTAAGTTGCACAAATGTAAGAAAAGTCTTTAGTAGAGCCTAACAAAAACGTCGCGCAATTTCAATTGCAACCTGTATATTAGGCCTGGTTTTTCAATAGTTTCAATATCTTACATCATTCGAAAATCTCTGTACATTCCTAAAATTATCTACGAAAGAATTGAGCAAACAGTAAATAACATTGATAAAGAATTCTTTAGTTAATATTGAATTTTCCTCCATTCCTTATCTACAAACTAACATTAGACTGTTTGGTTTCGAATGGAAAAAGGACATGTCTTATGTAAATAAATATTATGTATGTAGTGTACATTATGTACATACCTGTTTCTCAACATTTGAAGGTCGACTGCGTTGGGTCTCTAGTGTGTGTCTTGGTGGCTTTGTAGACGTAGAGTCGATTTCTGTTTCTGCCGATTTTTCAGACATTACTGAAACAATTAATGAAGGAAGAGTATTAATTTTGTAGCCAAAATAAATCTGAAGAGTTTGTTAGTTGGAACGCGCTAATCTTAGGAACGATTGGTGCGATTTGAAAAATTATTTTTGTGTTGGATAGTCCATTTATCGAGAAAGGCTATAGGCTATAAACCATCACGCTATGATCAAAAGGCGCCGAGCACAGCGAGTGAAACCGCGCTGCAATCTATTGCATTACCAAACATTTAATAAGCAGTTCCTACTTTTGTTTGATGTAACTGAAATTCTATTATCTTAGCTTTTAAGCAGATTTTATCAATGAACCTTAACAAATCAATTGAAAATTCATTTAGTTATTTACGCATAAAAATCTTTTTTGGATCATAATATTAGTAAATATTCTTACCAGCTACAGTTGGTACTGTCGACGGCATATTTGCTTCTAGCTCACGTAGATTCACGATAAGCAGTTTGAATAGTTCCCAATCACCAAATGGCAGTTCTAGAATCTGTAAACAATTTAATACAAAGTTTAGTGATGTAAATGGTGTTGATATTGTATGGTTACTATAATATGAGTTGTTTAGGCATAATTGTGTATGTGAACTTGTATGTTTGTAAACGCACCCACCGGGTGGTGGAGGAGAAAATCCTAGTGTGGGGCAACGTTTTTTTTAAATAAAATAAAAAAATTATAAAACGAAGCTTCTAAATGGCTGAACAATCGTTGACTATCACCCGAATACTCGAAATGGAAATTTTAAGTTGTATTTGAATATCGTACCATCTCTGTCATTTTACAAAGAATTCGTAGAGACAGAACTATATTTAAGCGCGACTTAAAATTTAATAGTCTTTCTGTATTTGGGCGTATGCGCTATTTATATTAGCATTATGCCATTTGTGTAAAAACATCATGTGATAGATCACTGTTGGATTATAGGGCCTACATTTATGCATTTGGTGCATATAATTTGAAGATTCAGTATTGATTTTAGTCATAGATTTGAGTGGGTTATTGGATGAGGAGTAATGACGAAGCAATGTATTCTAGTAGACATATAGCGCACCGGTTCCAGATCCTGCAGCCTGCAGACGGCGAGCACGAGCCCGCAGACGTTGTGGTGTGCGAGCTGCGCGGCGCAGTGCGCGGCGCCCGCGCCCAGCGCCTGCCGCACCACGCCGCACACGCGCTCCACGCTCAGCGACGACAGCCGGATGTTGGACACGTCCGACTGGAACATACTCCGACATAAACATACTACTCACACCGTAACGTGCTAAAACTTTTTATATTACCTATTTATTTATCATTTGTACATGTACACCATACAACAGATAATATTATAAAGGACAACTGACACATTACGACCATGAGGTATATAGTACTACATATTCCTTAAGGAATTTCTTCCTGCAGACCTGCGGCAGGAAAAGGAATTTAGACACCAGACACAGTGTACAAGCTACATGCAAATGACCGAAATATATTAAAATACATAAACAATATTATACAAATTTAAGGAACTATTTAAGGAGGAAGTCTAATTTTCTTTTTTAAATCATTATGTCAGTAATTTTTAACCAATGTTTTGGGTAAGAAAGATTCTCTTCTAAGACAGCAACATAAATAAAAGAAGAAACGTTTAACATTAGCTACAATAAAATAATCATGTACTTACCAAACCAGGGAACGCAGTCTTCAGCATATGGAACGGATTCTGTGTTGGTTGCTGTGGTAGTGGTGGCTGAGCTGGTGGTGGTGGTTGTTGGTACTGTGGCGGGGGGAATGGTTGAGAGTTGATGGCCTGTGGCACGAACCCCGCGCTAGTGTTGGCCCACCCCACCCACATCTGCTGAGCAGGGACCGGACCTGCCGCCGCCGGCTGGGTCGGTGGAGACGAACGCTATAACATGTTGAAATATGGAAATAAGTACCTTTTTGATTATTTTTGTTGTATTTTGTGGGTTTATTACAGTTATAGTAATATCACAGTAGTTTTTATCTCAAATATTCAGTGACGAACTTTCAAATTGAAGTGTTTATTTCGTAGATTCTTCATGTTATTTTTTTTGTTCAAACTTGAAGCATTTTGGTAAATTATTGATAGATATATTGAAGATTTTGTATTGATTTTGTTAATTGTTTTGTTCTAATGTAGTCAGAGTATCTTATAACGAATGATAATAATTCATTGTTATAGTGAACAACGACATTGAAAAAGGACATATTCTCTTGAAACAACTGTGGCACCTGGCTACTATAGAGTTACACGCAGAACATAAACACATTGACACATAGGACATCTGTCATTCTCTTAAGTCTGGTAATATGTTTACCTATTACACACGCACACATAAATAACCCACTGATATTTTGGTGATTCAATTATTTCTAAGTGACATTAATGCCCGAATACTGAAAGGCTACTCAAATTTAAGTCGCTATTAAGTATAGTTCTGTCTCTACAAATTCTTTGTAAAATGAAAGAGAAAGCACGATATTGAAGTACATCTCAAAATTGAGTAACCTTTCAGTATTCGGGTGTATGTCTGCTTTTTTTCGACGTCCTTGACAGTGAATGTAAAGTTCGAACAAAGTTTGCATTAACAACGAACTCTTTGTCTAATACAAGAAAACGGATGTTGAGTAAAATAAATCTTCCATTTCACAAACAAATGCTGACAATTCTTAATGCAATTAGTTTAAAAGCAACATTTCGGTAAAAGTTAATCGTTGTAAACATTTTAAAGATATCACCTTCAAAGCACGTATTTAGAACAAATAAGTATGTTCAAATTATATTTAGCGGATATTGACCTCGTTTTTAAATGATACGTAGACGTAGATTAAAATAGAACGTTTGGTATGAAATAGAGTAGATTAGTGTTTAACTCTTATAATATTTTGTTTTCTAGAACTCTGATTTAAATTAATACTTTTTACACATGGATACTCAGATTCAGAAAAGTATTATTAAAATTTTTGATTTAGAATGTGTCAGTACTATAATATCCTCGGTCTTTGTCACTATGAGTACGAGCCTAATAACTGGTATAAAAAAAATGGTATAAGATCTGAGTAAGACTTTTGTGAATATAAACATTCTTACGTGTTTCCTAGGGAACAGTTTGGAGTGTGGCTGCCTTGAGGGTGGTTGTCCCCACGCGAGGCCGGCGGCCGCGCCGCCCGCGCCCGCGTCTTCGTCCACTCCACTTTGCATTTGTTCCTCTGTAATATACAAAATAAATGAACAATTATTGAAATTGAGATATTTAATTAGAACACGTAATAATGGATGACAGAGACGTAGTCTTAAGCGGACAAAGATCTCCACATTTGCTCGTTGGAGATTTCAAAGTAGTTTCTTTTTCAATGTTTCATTTTGGTTGTGGCGTTTAAAATAAATATACCTGAATTCATAAATCCTCAAAAGACCTTCAACGCACTTCTTACTACTCTGTTGTTGTGGGCTCTGGGTGTGTGCAGCACCGATTGTTAACGATCAGGTGATGCTGTGTTTGCCGTTTATTCCATAAAAAAGGATTATCTTGGGAAATCATACACTGATAGGTCCCAGTCAGGGTAAGCCACAAAAATCATAATAATAAGCTTGGAACTTAAAAGTTTTGAGCAATTACCTTTGATAAGCTTCTTGATGTAAGGATCCAAGTTGATAGTGAATGGCAGAAATATCTTGAGATCTGCAGCAGTGAGGGTGGCGCGGTGGAAGCTCAGGAACACTTCCAGTTTACGCTCGTCACGGTCCAGCTCCATCAATGTACTGGCTTCACGAAGACCGCTCATCAGGGGTTTTACTCTGTCAGATTGAAAAAGTATTGTTAAACTTGATATTTTTGATAAAACGGAAGATTTAGCATGAAGTTAAATACCTAAATCAGGTTATAATTGACTGTTTCTATTTGAAAATTCTTGTTATGACGCGACTTATTGAGAATACCAAAGACATTTTAGAAAAAGGTAAAGTGCGTAGCAGTGCTTAACGTAAGAAAAAAAAACATGCAAGGACTTCTATTTGATGCAAAACCTTCATCGATTTTTGGAGTATTTATGGTAAAGGAACTTACTTTTCATAAATGTGTTTGAGTGAGGTGGAGTCATCGATGTGTTCCTCGTAAGTCTCGTGGTGGTAGATGATCCAGGACGTGCGGAATGGCCACTGCTCCGTAAGGTTCACCCACGACGCCAGCTGGTACCAGTTGAACTCTATTTGGAAGGCCTTTAGAAGACGTCCTGTGGAAAAAATATGGTTAAAATATTAATATCTAAGCATATTAATATGCAAACTTCAATTTCATTCTTAAACTGTCAAACACCAAGCGGTCACCGGTGACCGCAACCTATTGTTCTTTAATTGTGTCAAATATGTCAAAAATGATTCAAGTTGACTTTGGCAAGATGTTATCAGGATATAGTGGACAATTTAATGTTGAATTGTACTAACGTAAGACGCCAGTGTAACAAAAGCAGGAACCCGATTTAAAACCAATATACGTACATTAAAAATTATACCTTAGCTAGTAGTTAAATAAAAACAGTTTAAAGTAGACTAAGACGAAATAAACACAAAAGACATTAAAAAAATATCTCACCAGTAACATACAGCACGTTCATGAGCCGCCTCATGCTCCTGGGGTTAACATCACTGAAGTAGTCATCAGTCAGTAGCACCCTGTTGAGGTCGGCGGCCCCCGCGCCCCCCACGCCCCCCGTGGCGCCCCGGTGTAGCCCGGAGGCCACGGACGAGGCCACGGACTCCGAAGGCCGCAGCCGCCGTTCTCGCGCCGCTTGACCTTTGATACGCTCTTGACTCGACATGAGCTCCGATGTTGAAGATAGGCGGCGTGCTGATACCTTTGATTTTTGAAAGAATTTTTATGTTAGTGATTTTATTTTAGGCATAGTTCAGTATATTTTGGATAATTGGCTTTGATGAAGTGAGGAACTTAAATACTGCTTGAGCAGTACACCTAACAAGCACGGCTTCAACCCAGCAATTAACTTGTCATTTAAAATTATAAACTTAAAATCGTTTGTCGTATGACATATTTCATAACGTCAATATAAAAAGTAAGCGCGCCACCCGCACGCCGGTTCGTATTATTTCCAACGCAAAAAAAGCCTTCGGAGCCGTGCTTTAGCAGTGCCGGAGCCGTGTTTATTAGGTGTGCGATTACTCTAATCTTGCTGATTTTTTTTGCCTAGGAGAGTAAGCAGTAAAATGTGTAGAACCTGACAACATTCTTATGTTTGTGACTTGCAAAATAAGATGACACTACGTGTATTTAACAGGCATTTTAAGCAAGATTATCGATACGACGAATAATAATTCATCACATTGCCTCTTTACATTGCCCAAGTGACAACGACTGAGAGAAAATTCTCTACCTATTATGAGTCATAAAAGCAAAATATTCCCTAACAAAACTACTTACAGATCTCTGCAGCGACGTAGAAAAGTCATCAGCCATGATGACTTGCATTCTTCTAGCAGCAGTTTGTTGAGCAGTCTTTACTCTGCGGAGTGCTGAGTTCTGGAGGTAGAACGGTAGCTGCACCATGTTCCGAAGGTAGTCCCATCCTCCTATGTTGCTCTCGCAGAATGCTCGCCGACTGTTTATTTCCACTGCCTACTCGGAATAGTATGTTATGGTATATTATGTATGTAATGGTATAAGGAATAGGTTTATTTTTTAACATATACATATGTACGTAACTCAAATTTTAATGCAACAATTATTAAGAACATGTAGATTGATGTCCATCTATAATTAATTGAGGTATGATAGGATGTAAAAAAAATCCTATTAAAGAATTAAAGATAAAGAAAGATTTAGAAAACAATTACACTTTTTTTTAAAAGTATGCATTTATTACGTTTTTAGAGAATATGGAATAATTAAGATAAATTTTCATAGAGAATGGATTTTCCTACATTTTTGTATTATGTACGGTAGATAACAAGGTATATTTTTGTCTAGCAAGTTATAAACACAAATAAAATTGGAAATTGATACTATGAGACACGTATGGAATTGTAATATCTACGCGTAATAGATATTCAGTTGTAATTTAATCGATTCTGTTTATTGTAGGACTTTTACGTATATATAGTATTAAGTAAAATAGAATCTACGACATTAATAATATACATTTTATAGTTTCATTTTAAATTATTTACTTTAATACCGTAAATTAAGTAAAAATGTTTTGTCCCGTGAAAAACAAAATGCATGTTTATTACTGTTTGTGTTAAAAAGTAGATAAACATGATTTTGTATGGATACCATGGAAAATGAAAAAAAAAAACAAATTTTCACGAAAAATCCTAACAGAATGTCATGCAACACAGAGTAATGGCTAAAATATACATCTGATAATTTGTATCTGAAGAGATCATGCAAGAACATGATTGTAAACAAAGTGGTTGAGTCCGCAGTCATTCTTACACTCAATAGAATTTTATTAAAAAAAAAATATTTCACCAAAAGAAGGAATAGTCAAGCAGCTTCATTGTCCTATCTATAATAATTATTTATAGTTTCCACATCTCTGCTTGTCATACGTGTGCTAATAATAGTATATAAACTATTCATTGTCCACTCAGGTCAATTATTATGAGTCCCGGTGTCCCTCGAAACTTGTCGGGCGTTCTTAATGGTTTATGTAAGTTGAAAATTATTATTTAAAATAATTATGTATTAAAGATAGCTAAAACCATTCTTTGTATTAAAAATCGTTGTCTATATTTTATTAAAAAGTGATATTAAAGTATGACTACGGACTTGTAGTAGAGGGGATCGACAAATTGGCACAACATCGAGGTCCAAGCTAACACAGGGAAGGTATACAAGGTAAACACCAAACACAACATAGTATATCACGACCTTGACTGACTAACCTCCATCCAAGCAACCTGCATGAAATTCATAATACTAGTAAGATATCTTTCATTTTCAAACTAAACTATGCTTAAACTAGGGTAAACTGTTGTTGAAAGAACTATGAATGAGGTGGATATGAATAATGAATAATATTGAATTAAAGTATTATTTATTATTAAAGTTGATATTGTTATTTTTTTTTATTATTGGTAATGTAAACTTGAGATTGTAAGACCTCATTGTTCAGTTATGGATTTTATGCGAATAGTAATGGTATTATAAGAATCTTTAAAATCGATAAAGTTGATCTTTTAAAACATTTTACATGTTTGTTGCTCTTTGTCATGAATAGTTTTCGGCATTTGACTAAATGTCTAAAGGCCGAATTTTCAATCATCAGTTACCTCTTAACTGAACAATAAAATTTTTTAGTAGAGAAGAATTGTCAAACATTCAAAGTTAGCTAAGTTATATTTGACAATTTTTCCACACTAAAAACTGCCCAATGTCAATTTTATTCTACAGTTAAGAATTTACTGATGATTGAATAATCGGCTCCAAGAGGGCCAACTAGGTTGTAGACATTTAAATCTACATAGATTAACTATTTGGATAATTTAAGGTGTTCACTAAAATGAACGATGGAATATTTCTTAAAGCAAATATAAATACTGTAGCACAATATAAATGTCGATTTTAATAAAATATCATTCTCACCTTGCTGATGATGTGTGGGTCTATGGCCAGCAGTAGTATGAAGGGGCTCTTAGGGTCTGAGCAGAGAGCATGAACGGCGTTCAGTAAAGCTAGCACCTTCTCTTGTTCGCAGCTGTCTAAGGCATCCACTACCACTACTAGGCGGGTCTGCTGGCCGGTGAACGCGTCAAGACACGACACCTGAGGAAATTAGAAATGGAAGTAAGAAATCATACTTACACAATTATAAGTAAATTATTTCCGAATTTCTTATTTGATTACTAAGAGAAGAGGCATCGTAAGTAGTCGACATGTGAATTTCGCAAATGAATAAACTTTACAGAAAACATTATTTGATACGACTGTTTCGACATTTGTCATACGTTCAGTACATAGTTTATACTATTGTCTTGTATGTATAGTATTGTTAGTGATTGTGTACACATTATTTGATTATTATTCGATAATACAGTAACGATATGCGAGTAAGAAAAGTAGTACATACCACATGCGTCAAAGCCTGGACCTCAGGTCTCAGCCCCGCCGGAGAAGACGCAGCAGCCCTGGCGAGCCTGGAGCGCGGCGCGCGGACGAGCGCGGCGAGCACTCGCGCGCACGTGTATAGGTTGGCGAGCAGCGCGGCGCCGCTCACTGCGCAGGCGCCGATCATCAGCCCCTGCTGGATCTCCCGCCGCCTCAAGGACGACTCTCACTCATTGAGCCGTCGGATTCTAACTCTTACTTATAGCCCTCATCTACATTTCTATCTCATTTATTGATCTTAGCTTTCAGTTTTAGGCTCACTCTCTAGATAGGACTTACAACGTAACTGGTGCTTAATTCATAACGCATATGCGCATCTCTGTCTAAGCCGATTGTTTACTAATAACTAACGATTATTCCGATATTGAATTTTCAGTGATAACACTGGACTCCCATTTGATACTATAACTCTCACACCCAATTAGGAACACAACTATGAAAAATGTATACTTCTAATATTTTTTACTTTGCCTTCATGAATTGAATATTTTCAATAACGTTTAACAACTTTTTTATGCCATAGCAGACACTAGATGCCCAATGGAGGATTTGACTTTAATTAATACAAGTTATGAGACAAAAGTTTGCAATATAAAAATGAACTCACTGTGGGTCAGGATCCCTGTCCGTTAAGTACATGATGAGCACGCAGAACCCGACGATAATGCAGGTGAAGCACAACTCGAATGTAATTATATGAGGTATACAGCAAACTCGCCGCCACCTGAGGAGAATATTATTCAATAAATGGCCTTTCGTTGTACAGCAGTACAGATTCTCTTCGCAGTAAAACAAGTAAAAACTTTAATAACTATTAGTGTAAAATTTAGCATTGACGCTGAATCTGTTTGGGGTCTATTTTTGTTTAATTTATATCTACATTTCCTGATACATTTTAATATTATACTGAATAGATGATGTAATGTAACACGAGGTATCCAAATACTCAATTTAAGACACTCAAAAATATTTGTACATATATAACCTCAAAATGTTTACATAAATATTTGTGTTAAAACAAAACGTTATAAAATTACAGATATAGCACGATACCAATATTCAATTAGTGAGGTGGATAAACTATCCTTCATTTAACAAATGCAAAATGTTGAAAAGATTAATGAAAAAGACGACAACTTACTTCCAACCAGACGTAGACGACACAGGTTTAGGTCGGAAGGCCCTTGCTAACCGAGTGCATATTCTCCCGTACTGACACTCCAGCGCCTCACCCAAACTCGCTATCATTTGAACCACCATTGCCTCTCCCTCCTGACCTCCTCCGCTTTTCATGCCTTCGGTGAAATGAAACCTGGAAACGTATTACAGTATGTTAATAATTGTTTGAAAGAATTAGGAAAGAAAGAGGCAAGAGGCTTCATTTAGATACATAACTTCATACTTGATTGACTTGTTATAGCTCCAAGCAATATTTCAGTAAAAAATAAAATAATGTGTTTTTTTTGCCAAGTAATAATTATAATATTCATTTTTTTATTTAGTTTCTGAGTCTCGTCTACGATATCTGCCTGGCCTGAAAGCTGTCCCTAAATCTAGACAGTTGTGCAATTAACTATTGAACTTACCTAATGGGTGTCGCTGGCAACGCCCTAGGGTCGTTAGGTCCCGGTGGGTGACAGAATACAACCTGCAGCGCCAGTAACAGTGAGCTGAACTTACGACCCAGCGCAGATAGTACTCCTCCCGCCCACCACCACTCGTATCTATTCACAGAACAGTATTATAACAACATACTCCAATATTATGAAGCATAAATCATCTACATTATATTATTATTGTAATAAATTATAATGAGAAAATTTATAATTTATTATCAACATCAAATAAGTAAATAAGCTCCTGGATTATAGAGGACATTGCTCCCAATGTTTCGGAGTTCAATGTTTCTGTAAACTAACCATTGCCAAGAAAAACAGTTCGTCTATAAACATCTACCTACAATATACAGGTATACGTAGTAGTACAAATGATGAAGATTTCAGGTACACTTAGTAGTTAAAATAATGAACTATTTCAGAGCATTTTGCGCAAATTAATTGCGCATCCACTTTGATAGCACGCACGCAGCTACTTCATAAGGAAAGTTGTGTACCTAATGCCAAATTATTTACGCTTTTACTTTTAGATGACCAATAGTTTTAATTTATCTACTTTAGAACAAAAGTTATATTTGTGAAGACTCACTTATTTCCAGTGTACCATAGTATATACAGGGCTATGTATATGAATGCGAAGAGCGCGAAGCAGAGCCCTAGCGCGATGTAGGGCGGCGCCCCCGCCACGGCCGCGACGGCCGACGCGGACAGCGCTACGTGCCACGCGCCCCACCACACCGCCCACGACCACGCCCAGCCCGTTTCACTCCATTGTCGGGCAAAATTTTTCATCTCCTCTGTAAATACCGACATCGTACTTAAGCATTTCATTCTCAACAAAGACTATATTGGAAAGTCACTAGGTTTCAAGAGATTGATCAATGGATCACTATCTACTAAACGAGACTCATAATACCTATATCTGCTATAAATCCTATTCTAGAAGGTGAACTGAAAAGTGGGTGTTAGATTATATGTGTATGTTCAGTCGTGCACCTTTGGTGCTTATTCAGCGATTAAAGGTGTAACTTTATGAGATCGATGAAAATTTACATAAATATTGACAAATGAATGTAAATGGCACAAGTTTTGTGCTGCAAACTTACAAGATTAACTTTCCCGATTACAACTTTTGGTTGGACATTCTAGAAAGCTCTAGAAAAACATCTGGTTAATATCTAAGATAAAAATGGATTCCAACTGAATAGTTCACAGTTCACCTATAATGAGCCAAACATATCGATACAAATTGTATATTTTGGCTACTTTACAGTCCACCGGAAAATAGTGGGTGTGATGAAGCGCTAATTGATTTGTAGGGTCTTATATATAAATATTTAATGATTTATTTCGAAAGGTATTTCGTGACAGGGTGGGCGTGCCAACTAAGACGCATTTTAATGACGTGCCAACATAATGGTCTTGAGGAACGTTAAGCATTCTAGGATTTTATAGATAGTGACGTCACAGATGAATGAGTCACACATTATGTAATGCGTATATTGTTTACCTATTTTGACATTACGTATCGATATTGACGCACGACTTTTTCTCAAGCGTGATTACTGCTTATATGCTAACAACGTAGTAGAACAACATATCATAAAGTACGATTTTTTTTTTGTTGTTGTTTTATGGCAACCGAATCCCCAACGCAGTGTTGTCGACTATACAGCCAGTGTCGAGTTGTGAAGTATGATTGTTGATATCGTTAGATTTATAATGATTAAGAATTAGAGTTGCGTGTCAAATTTTACTATTATTATTTAATTATGAGGAAAAAGGAGGACTGCCTCGTTGGCCGAGTGGACGCAAGTGCTACTGCCAGGTATCACGGGTTCGAATCCCGGGTCGGGCAAAGTATTATTCGGGTTTTGAAAAAATCTTAGTAGTAATACGGAGTCTGGAATTGTGCCCGGTATATGGCAATAGGCTCACCCCTTATTATATGGGACTCATAACACAAATAGTAAAAAGTGGATGTTACATTGTATAGTAGCATCAAGTGCCGTAATTGGCCCCTCTGCCTATCCCTTCGAAGATAGAAGGCGTGGTGTTTTGTTGTTATGGGGAAGAAGGATAATAGACTTACCTTTAAGTTTATTGAGCAAAAATGATTTCCCTGATCCCCATCGAGCGTATAGTCCGACAGTTATAGGTACCGAAAGGCTAGGTTCAGACAGCATGTCGGCTAGTGCAGCACTATACAGTTCATACCCTAACATATTCTCATTGTCTTCATTAGTATTCAACTTGCGGGCGCCAAATATCTGTCCTAGTATAGTCTTATTGTAACTCATATCTATATTGTAAGGCGTTTCATTCAATTTGTTCGGCTTATACAATAATTGACTGTTCTTCGGATTTCTTAGGAGGATTTCCACGATTTGCTGTAAAATAAATATAAAACATTTACGCTGGAACACTGGAACACACTAAACAATAAATAATTGTAGTTATTAAGTTGAAATATCATAGTTGTGACGTCACAACATCAAGATCTCCCATTTCAAAATTTTGATGCGCTGGTGCATGTGAAACAAAAACAAGTGTTTTTATTTTTTTCTACATTTTTCTTGTATATATATTTCTTCTGTGAGTGTGTATGTCACTGAACTGCTCTTAAACGACTGGACCGATTTTGATGATTTTTTTTGTATGTGTTCAAGGGGATCTGGGAATGGTTTAGATTCACAGATCAGCACGGCAGATGGCGCGGCAGTCGGTGTCTAGGTTAGTTATCCCAAACAGATGAACTAATTTGAATGAATTTTTGTTTATACATTCAAGTGGATATGCAGGACAACGTCTGTTGGGTCCGCTAGTTTCTTTATATATGTGTATAAATACGTACATACATGTATGTTTGTGCGCAATTATCTTGCTAAACTGATTTGGTGCGGTTTTCATAAAAGTGTTTATTACACTTAGGAGAAGGTTTAAGTTTATTCATTAACCAAATCCAAAAAAGAAGGGGATGCCGCTGTTTTTCAAAAAGCCGGTGACGCACTTGTAACCCCTCTGGAGTTCCAGGTCTCCATGGGCGACGCCGATTGCTTACCATCAGGTGATCCGTCTGCTCGTTTACCGGCTTTATATGCCATAAAAAAAACATTATTACGTATGGATAACAAGGAAAATATGTTTGTATGTTGAACTGTGCCTCCATGCATTAATAGAAGATATGATATAATGACACTCATCACCCAAGACGTGAACATGATTTAATAAAGGAATTACTTGTTAATAATAAAATTACATATTATTATTTTATATACATTTTCCTGCTTGTAATCAAGCCAATTTTTATGACACCGAGTCCATTTCAATCTTAGAAAAAGGATATTAAGATTTACACCTTCTCAATCACTAGACAATTAATATTTGAATTCGAAGTTACAAAGCAATTATATTGATAAGTAACGAATCCTTTTGGTGACTTTGTATAAGGGAGTGACTTAATATTACCTTATTTATAAATAACATTTCATATTAAACTCCTAGATAGAAAGTTCTTATTTAGACCTTGATGAAGATTATAAACGTTGTCAGCAAATCATCCTTACTAATATTATAAATTGGAAAGTGAGTTTGTTTGTTTGTTCCCCTTTCACGCCGTAACTACTAAACCGATTGCTTTGAATTTTTGCAGACGTTAGAAGTCCGGATTAAATAATAGGGTACTTTTTATCCCGGAAAAACTTGATATTCCCGAGGGAAAATAAAAGTATTGGTATAGATGGCGCTGTGTGTATTGGTATATGTCACATAGGCTACTTTTTACCCTTTTGTGACGCGAGCGAAGCCGCGGGTAAAAGCTAGTGAGAAATATTTGGAAATGGCACAGCAATATAATCAAAATTGTAGTATAATAAATAACATAAAAACTCATTATTACCTTAGACCTAGCTCTCATAGCAATATGCAGCGCCGTATCTCCCCTGATGTCTGCGACGTTGACGCGCGCTTTGCGCTCCAGCAGTAATTGTACCATTTCCGCATTACGAGAGCGCACCGCTCGCATCAATGGAGTGTCGCCGCTCTGTGTATTGTACAATACATTAATCTTATACTATAATAAAAAGCTGAAGAGCTTGTCTGTTTGACCACGCTGATCTCTGGAACTACTGGTCGGATTTTAAAAATTGTTGTTGTGTTGGATAGCTCATTTATTGAGGAAGGCTATAGGCTATCAAACAACACGCTACGATCAATAGGAGCTGAGCAAAACGGGTAAAACCGCATGTTAGTCGATAGGTAATTGGGTATTTGCCAACTAGTCAAATTTAATACTTTTTTCGAACTGTCAAAAACTACAGTTTTCTATGAATTTTGTACGAGATTGTGTATTGTGACGTCACGTTTTTTTAGCGTCAAACAGCATACTTATTTCTTAAAAAATTGCTGGAAAAATACTAAAATTAAGTTAGTTATAAAACCTCTTAAAGTTTGATAATTTTTATTGTATTAAATAGTCGAAATAATTTATTTTTGATTAAGGCAAGTATCCAATTATAAATTGTAAATGTTTAGATGGCTTCGTAGATCGAGTAGTCGCAAATGAGAAGGAGTATAAATAACCCGATTTGTAGATAAGGTTATAATTGAGTCGCACTCTTAAAAATAGTAGTTCACATAGCCTCTATTATAATAGGATTAATAAATAACTGGTGTAAAGTGGGTGTAGTAAACATAAGTTCATTTTTGGGATATAACCTTCTTAGGGATATAGACAGGGTGTAAAATTTGAACATAAGTCATGTATATATATGATCAAGACATGTATACTTTACATAAGGTTAAAGTAAGTTGATAATGAATCATAATAATATAATTATTTCTGCAAAATCGTGTTACCCGCAGGGGGTTTTTTCCAGTTTAATTGCATAACGTTGCATTACATATTGTGTACTTATTACAATGCAATTTATTACTAAACGGTAGAGATATCTATGATAAGATTTTCCATAAGACAAGTACTAGGGAAATATTGATTTTGCAAGCAAGATAATCTAATTTCCTTATACATAGTCATAGTGTACATTAGAGGATTATTATTATCTTTTGTCTCAGTCAAGAAACCGTGTAACAATAAATGGAATGCTCTCAATTTTACTTCACGAAATCTTTTTATTCTGAAATAAACAAAACAGTACACTCATTACACAAATTCTACAAACTAATTTGAATCTTGATTCGATACAAACAAAACATCATTTCACATACCACAGTACTGTGTTCGAGGTCAGGATTGGAAGCTAGTAACAACTTGAGTATGGCTACATGTCCTTTCTCCGTGGCAGTGTATACTGGCGTCTTCTTCTCCTTGCCTGGCAGGTCCACATCTACATGTTTCTTTAGTAGCGCCTCCACTATATTCTTGTGTCCTGCTTTTACTGCGTGTATTAAAGGTGTGTCTTTTGATTGATCCTAGAAGTAGAAAAATATAGGAATGTTATGCTAGGTTTTGTGTTTAGTGTGTGTGTAGAAGCTATTAAGCTGTTTGCGTGTAGTTTGTATAAGATTTTAAGATAATACAGCCAATACGAACTGAAAATTATAACGAGGGGTAACGGGCTATTTGGTTTAAGCGACATTTTGGGCGATATTGAGTTATATATATATTCGGAATCAGCGAATTTTTCTCCGTCGAATGATGCCGGTTTCATTAAAATCGGAGCACTTTTTTGGCGTTTCAAACAATTCTATTTTCATGTTGTTTCCAAAGTGGCAGTGTATTAAACGACATGGATTTCGCATTTTTTATTAAATTATGTACTTGAACCATACCATCATATTAATAACCGAGACATAAACCAGTCACCCTATCTCTAATTATTAAGTCAATATGAGTTAAAGCGTTTTTCTTGTTTCTAATTTTTATTAACAAGTAACTTGAATCATTTTGACTTCCCACTAATCACACGGTGTGATGTCGCTTAAAACATTTGTCCGTCATCCAAATGCGTCATGGTACGTCTCTTAAACATTTCTAGCTGCCTCTATTTTCTACGCAGGGTGCTACTTAAACCAAATAGTTGTTTTCGTTCAGATATTTTATTTAGTCATAAACCATTTAACCCTCAATTTTTTTTTTAATGCATGTCGTTTTATACAGACGATAACATTGATAATGAATATTGAAACATTTTTCCAGTATTCATAGAAATACGAGTCGGTCTTTCAATCACTAAGTTTTAATATGGTACATTTCAATCATGTCATATGATACCATATTTATTTCATCGCCCTGGTGTTAAAAATCGTTATCATCCAACTGGACTATCGTGCGCTGGCGCTTCAGTCACTCCAGAGTGCGCCGAAGACAGACGGGACGCGCGCACACTGCCAGTGTTTACGTAAAACGCTCATCGAAATTGAATCCTAAGTACTTTAATTTCAAGATGAACCTCGCGGTCGTTCGAAGACTTTGGCAACAATGACAATTTAAGGGCTATTGTGGAGGTTGATGACATACAATCTACTGCTGATTTAGCAACAGCTTTCGACGTTAGCGTCAAAACAATATTGGTACATTTGCGTCAAATTGGCAAGGTAAAAAAGCTTGATAAGTGGGTGTCCCACAAACTAAATGATCAACAGAGCTAAGTATGCATCGAGCAGTGCGAGGGGGACTGGGATGCCGTCTCCTCGTTTTGCGAAGCAGTTATGCTAGCTAAGGAGGAGGCGGGACGCGTGAGGCAGCGAAGCGCTGGCTCCTCGCAACCCAGCCATCGCGAAGGACACACCTGGCGTCGGGGATCGCGGGATGATCTCCAGTTACCGTAAGCACGGGCCTGCGGACGGTGAGCATGGGTGGCTCCCCGTCCGACCAGAAACAGACCCGAGCGTACGGGCGTCGCGTTCCGCGCGCGCCTCAAAGAGCCATCAGACCACCACAGATGGGGCCCAACCGGGGCGATGCCGATTCAGAGTCGCGGAGAACCTAACGGGTAACCGGGGCTCCGGCTCGACGTGCAGGAGAAGAAACGGGGTGATTTTTAGTCAGTAAGAGTCTGACACTCTTTCCCGCCTCACCCAGGCGGGAGCAGTAATTCGATGATTTTCCACCCTTAAAAAAATGCATCAAGTAGTGCCTTGCACTGCACTGCTCAATATACACACAATGAAAGAATTTTGATTTGCATTGTCACCTCCGATGAAAAATAAAATCTGTGTGATAACCACACGCGTTTAGCATGTTGGTTGAATCCTAGTTCAGCACCTAAACAATGCCCTAAACGAAAACTTACCCCTAGAAAAGTGATGGTCACTGATGGTCTAGCGCTCGCGCTATTCTGATTCATCACAAATTCTTACCAAACGGAGTGAGCATTACTACGGATGTGTAGTGTGAAGAACTGAACACAATGATGGAGAAGCTAACACATCACCAACCAGCACTGGTCAATCGCTAATCTCCATTGCTCCTGCATTAAAACGCGCGACCTAAAGCTACACAAGAGACGGCCTCCACGTTACAAGAACTGGGGTTGTGAAGCTCTCCGACATCCACCCTACTCACCAGTCACCAGACTACTTCTTTTTCCAGAATTTGGATAACTTCTTGGCGGGAAAAAATTTAATAACCGAGAGGCAGTACAAAATGCATTTGAAGAATTTGTTGCTACCCGTCCAGCTGATTGAAGAAGGGCATCAATAAACTGCCACTGCGTTGGCAACGATGCATTGATTGCATGGGTGATTACGTTGATTATACAAATAAAAATACATGAAAAAATCGTTTAAATTTTTTCATACAAAACGGCAATTTCAGTAAATGACCCATTAATTTAATTGATTTTGCTGAAATATAATCGATATTCCTATTGAAACTGTAATTATTACTCTAAATAAATACTTTGATATTGTGTTGTGTTTATTTATTCAATGTAAGCATCTGAGATTTTCGGTGATTGCGATATATCCAGGTTGTTTTATCAGCCATTATTCGCCTTAGATGTAAATAAACATATACATTAAACGTTATAATTTCAATGTTATATGTCACATAAGTAAATTAGCCTGTCACTCATTTTAGTCTGAATTGGTAGTTAAGATAAATAGCTTGCTTCTATTAATTTTGGGTTTCGTCACTTCATATTTTTTAGCTTACTCTGTAAAGAGAGTGCATTGTCGCTTAATTTTATTCCCTTGTAGCCAATTGTAGTTATGAAGTCACTTAAATCATTTTTCCTGACTCTAAAAAAGGGCAGATTGTATTAAGCGACATTTATCTTTGTAATTAAAGGTCCGCTTTATTTAGAATTAGCATCAGCAACTAGATAATTTAATTTAAATTTCAATGCAATTTACCCCGTTCAAATAACTGCAGAAACGTTTTTGTTACGAATTTTTTTTCGAAATTTCAAACTTTAAAAGGCTCTCCTGTAAAGTTGCAAAAATGTCGCTTAAACCAAATAGCCCGTTACCCCTCGATAAAATATATTGTACATAGCATAGAACAACATCTTTTCACAGCATTTGTAATAAAGCTACAGTTTAGTCATAATATTATAAAAGATTTGTTTAGCTTGAAGCAAAGTTTTAGCAGATACATAATACATAACAATAAGAGGAAGTATAGAAGTTAGCAAGTCAACCTATTCCGATCTATCAATTTTTATTGATAATAGGAATAAAGTCGAAAATCGAATAAATAAAGACAGAAAGCATTAGGTTGACCTGCAGGCTACTTTAGAAAGACACTTTAAAAAAGAAAAAACAAAATAACAGTTTAACAGTATAGAGGACAGAGTATAAATTACCTGCACGTTAATGTAAGCGCCGGAGTTAATAAGAGCCAAAGCAATATCGTAGTATCCCTCTTTACATGCGATGGCTAGCGCGGTATACCCGTCTTTGTCTAACGCGTTCACATTCGGCTTGTGTTCTAGCAGCATTTGGACGATCTCGAAGTGGTTGCCTGGAGATAGAAAATTCAATAGTAAGTAGAAACGTAAATTGATTATTTTTTGCAGAGTAAGGCGGCAAAATGCGGCCGACGGAATTGCATGGACACCTCAACTCCAAGTGCGTTGCTTTCATGTTTGAGAGGGAGGGATTGGAATGTCAACACAGGCAGTATGTATAACAATTAGTTTGGATTGAGAAATTAATGTAGAATCTGATCATTATAGACAATTTTATACCTTATTGAATTTAGAGTATAAGAAACAGCAGAGAAAGCGTGTAATAACAAAAACCTTTTTTAACTGTTCTTGTTCATTCTAGATATACTTAGATATCCTTGTATGAAGGTTCTACATATAAGTTACTATATATGTATGTGATTAAGAGCTGAATAGTTCCGCTTTGAAGTGTATCCGGTCCCATGTATTTCAAGGAATTCAATTATGTATCTTCAGCTTTGTGGCATGGAAACGATGGAAGGTCCTATACATAAAACATGCACTTCTAGTGCCAAACTGCACGTTTGCACACTATATCATATGCAACAGGCAGTTTTGGAAATTAACATCATGTGTGCAACTTCTGCCAAACTTTATAATTTATAGTGCATAACTAAAGATTTCTTTGGATATGCTTTATGGCCAGTTAGTGTTGTCATAGTGGGACTACTATAAAATATTAAAATTTACTGGAATAGCTAACGACAATTTTCCTGCCTTCGAGAGCATATAAATCAATTATAATTAGTAAAGGTTGTCATATAGATTTTCAGTGCAGTCAGAAGTATGTACAGATCTCAAAATAAATCTGAGAATTTCTAATCTGTGTAATCACATCCAGTTATTGGAGACCTTCAGCCTTGTCTTGTTGAGATGAGAGAAATAAAGAAATAACTACAATTCACTACACTTACTACTACAATTCAATACATATTGAATAAACATATTTTTTATCCCTTTAAGAAGACCTTTAGAAGTTAAAAAGCGGTTAGGGTTGTCTCGAAGGTCGGATTGGGTATTGTAGCGGTGCACCATGAAATAGCATAAATATCCAGTAGTAGAAAAGTAATTGATGATAATACTGTGATTCGCGGATCGGTTAAAGAATTAATGAGATTAAAAAAATGTCAGTAGTAGCATGGAATTGTGCCCGGTATATGGCAATATGGTCACCCCCTATGACATGTGACTCGATAACATAAAATCCTTCAATTATCATAGTGAATGAAATTGGTGTTACATTGTACAGTTGCATTAAGTGCCAATTAGAGGATAAAAAGGCGTGATGTTATGATAATACTATGAAGAGCTTACCATGTGTAGCTTGCAGTAGTGGAGTCCAGCAGTACATGCCAGCGGTGTTAGCATCAGCACCAGCTCTTAACAGCGCCGAGCATGACGCGACATCGCCAGCCCTTGCCGCCCATGTTAGCGCTGACGTGGCGTACTTGTCGCACGAGTTTGGCCGCGCACCTGCAGCCAATAGCCGCTGCACAACCCCACTGTGCTTGCGACCCGCCGCCCATACTAGCGAGCTGAGGGAAAGACGATGCCATTTTTAAAATGCTTGGAACAAGCATCGGGATATAAAGGTTGGTTCGTGAAAGACTCTCACTGTAAGTAAGCCGAAAACATAATAATTTATTTAGTATGTCTCACGAAAGTTACAATACAAAAGACTCTCACTGTTTTTATACTTCTCCCCTAACAAGTAATAATAGTTAGTTTATAATGATAGAAGATATATAATAAGATATAAATAAGATAAGAATAAGAAGGATACTTTTCTACAAAAGTAGACTTTAGTAAGTGGTTTCATAGTACCTATCGTGAGACATACTAAATTAATTAAAATCGCGGGTTACTCTCGTGAATATACTCAGAAAAGCTCTACTAGTTTAGTGAGTAACCCACGATTTTAGTTAATTTGGTTTCATAGTATGTTTTGGTTTAATAATAAGACGGAATTTAAGCGCATTTCTGTTACTTATCACGGATAACAAGCGACGCAGACTTGTCTATAATAAAATTTTGATAATTGACGATTACAATTTTGTATCGTAAAGCCACCGTCTGATATTAATTGATGGCTGCGATATGATCACAACTGCATCCTCTGTTAATTTAAAAGAAGTTTTTCATATTACGTAATAACATGGGATGGAGGGAAAACCGCACAATAGCTTGTTAGAATTGGATGTAGAAGTAACCACAAATAGGTATTTGTATGAAGACGATGATGATGTTAAATATAAAAGTTCCAGTCTTGTTCTGTACTCTACCAACCACACAGTAATGTTAAATATAATACACTGTTAAAGAAACTTAAACCATATCTTCAGTCGAAGACTCAAACTCTTCCTGAGAATTGTTATATGTATATAGAAGCACTAAAACACTAAGCGGATTTGAAGAAAAGTAGTAATATAGTATTGAAATATATAATCTTTTGTTTGATGTTTGATAAAATTTTGAATGCAACATACTTGATATTATAATTGCCATGTGCATGAACATCAGCTCCTTTCTCCAGCAGTAATGCTACGATCTCTTCGTGCCCCTTGTATGACGCCCACAGTAACGGTGTCCAACCGCCCTGCGAAAGAAAAAAAATAGTTCAATAAGTAAGTAGTTCTTCAATATTAAATTACTAAGGAATTACTTAGATATTTAACCCCTCGAGCGTCCTTATGCGCATCCGGTGGATCATAAGAAAAAATGCTCCATGCTGCTTTCTCTTTTATAAAATCTTATTAAAGTTTTGTTTTTATTTTGACTGTAAAAATTACAGTTATTGTAATGATCCTTGTTTTCGTGTGCCAATGGCCAACTAAATGCATTTTTTTTCTTTCTTTCTTCCTTTTTTCTTTCTCCAAATGTCACGTGTGCACCCGTTGGATCATAAGGAACGCGGACGCTCGACGAGTTAATGCAATAACAACATGATAAAATATTTAAATTTAGCTATTATGGTAACAAGTTCATAATAAGTATCCAATTTTATTATGTGGGTAGGTACTGTAACTGAAGAAACCAAACACATTATTTGACTAGAAACTCAACGTGTAATTTTTTTTTAAATAATAAATTAGGAGTAAGCACAAAATGGTGTAATACAAAAATCTTCATAATTTAATTATTCATGCTAATTTATTTTCATTCATTGTACAAACTTTACATATACATATTTAATAGATACACGTATGTTAATATAGTAGCATGCAATCCACTTGACGTAACGTAATTTCTTCCTTATTACAAATACAAGTGGTCTAAACTTGTTCGATAACATTAATGTTATCCATAGATTACTTAGGAACTGATTCTATTAATTTTGCAAATAAAACATGAGTCACAGCATTTTTTATTACAATTCATGTCATGACGAAGTCGAACAATTTTATCGAAAGACATAGAATAATAAAAATATTTCTATTTTTATTTGAAAGGTACATTTATAGAAAGTACGTAACGTACCTACGTGTTTCCTACATATAAATCTTTTGTTTTCTCCATATTTTTTTAAAGTCAAAGTTTAAATAATTTATTTCAATTAGACAAGGAAGGCACTTTTGAACGTCAATATATTTAAAATGAAGCTATTTGCTCATTCCAAGATTCCTATGGAGAAGAACGAGAAAGAAACTCCATAGGTTACTCTTTTTCAATCAGGTTCATAATAAAAATTTTAACCGCTAGATCCAAATTTTCGGAGTATTTTTAAGTACATTTGGATGTTTGTCACTCAACAACTTGAAAACTACTGGTCTGATTAAGATGATTTACCTAGATAATAATAATATAAATACTCCAAACATCACATTTGCAGCTTTCATCACAGGGATTACCCAAAACGACGCCGAGTGAGGAAGCAGTTGTTTATTTATTCTAATAATTTATTATTCCATTTTATTATTCCAATGACCACCGATAACAGTCTAAAGCCACACACGTTCCCCAATTACGTGGATCTTGACCTCATTTGTACGTTTGGCCTCTAACTAAAAATGTTCACGTAAAATACTATCATAAACTATTTCCACTGTCACTTTAAAACATTTTTATTAAACTGCCGTCTTAGTTATAGTGTAAACAAAACATTTCTGTTACGTAGACTAATCGAAATTATTATAAAATAGAGAAACAATTTTATTATTATTATAAATGTTTAATACTATTTATTAGACGTGTTTTTTTTGTCGTATGGTGGTTTAGTTCCTAGATCAGGGAAACAACTCATATATTATGTACTTTTCTATTTCAAAACTACCTGGTAGTAACACCACCAATTTGTAGAACTAATGACGTAACTAACGTTATTAGCATAATACACCTAGTTTATCAAGCTGTCTACTCCTTGGGGGATTCGGGAAAAACATGCAAGATATGTGTTTTGTTTTAGTACGAAATGGATACTATTTTTATTTCACATTGGCAACAGAAACTGTGAGACAATTTAATTCGTTCTGTTTACATTAGAATATTGGAAATGCACTTGGTGTGCTGGACATGGCTGGCATAGTTTTAATAGTTTATGAAGTATCGGTTCTGGATGAACGAGCGTATTATATTTTAGTCAGATTTTAGAATGTGCTTGCATGTCAGTGACATCTTGGCAGAGATCCACGTCAAGTATAAATATACTAATTTTGAGTACACAGTCCAGAATACATTTTGGTCATTGCTCTATTATAATTATTTGGGTTATTGGTGCATGTGCAGTTAAAGGTGCACAGTATACGAATAATATTACGGTTAATATGTTGGTAGTCTATATGCTAGATTTTTCGCAATAGGTAATTATTTAGAGGACCAAGACTATCTAATGAATACATTAGTAAAATCAACAAAGCTTTCTATATTTACTCAACTTAACAGATATCACGAACACATGAAAATATTCCAGACACAATATAAACAGTTGTCAAAAAATCACGATCAATGACGTCAGAACCAGCCTTCATAGAAGAAAAGAGCCCCGACTAATTGCACCATGTTTTGTGTCCATAAATGAGTCATTTTGAACTTGTGCCATGTTGTCACAGTGCAGACTGTGCAAAATATAAGAAACATCTGTTGAGCGTAGACAACACAGACGATAGTACGTTAACTAAATTGCTTTTATTTTCGCATATTTCATTTCCACAATCAATTCTACTGATCTCGAGTATTTTGTAAGACTTCTTTCATCTCGATTACTCAGAACACAGATAAGTATTTTTGTCGGCGTTATTATGCTACGGTCGTAGGGAAAAATGTTGATTTAACGTTTGACGGATTCAGGTTGTTTCGGAAATATTGTGAAGTTTTAATCTATTTTAGTTGCAAATCTATCCTAATGTCATACCATTGTCGCAGTCACTATTTCAACCACATAATCTTTTGTAAAAGTTAAGTTAGAATGGTTACTCACACAGTCCCTAGAATCGACAATAGCTCCGGCATCTATTAGTTCCTTAGCTGTGGCAAGATGTCCTCCACGGGCCGCAAACGCCAAAGCTGTCCAAGCATCTGCGTCGGCGGCTGTAGCATCTGCACCGGCTCCCAGCAATATCCGTACCGCTGCGATTCGGCCATTCTCGCTCGCACACATGAGCGCCGTTGTGCCATTCTGTAATCATTTAATTATTTTATCATTTTGTTTGGATATCATTTTCTCTTAAATTAAGCTATGATTTACCATGGGGGCTACCGAGTCAGACTGGTTACCTGATGCTGAGGAATCAGTGCCGCCATTGGACATTGGTATTTGCAAGACGAATTACGAATGTGCTGTCGAAATATTAATATGTTTTATATTAACATTTTTCCAGAATTATATTAATCCAAAAGGCAGTATCTAGCAATGCATCAAACTTAACTTATGTGTAGCTTTTGTAGCTCTTATCTATCAGGTAAATCACTAAACTACTTCGTCATTAGGTCAGGTCAATGGCTTCAAACATTTCATTCCATTCATATACACTTAACATAGATATAGAGTGAAACTACTAACGTTTAAATATCAATAACACAGTTAGGCAAACAGTTTGTTTGGTCGTTAAAGGATACTGTCGGCCATTCGTACAGATGTTATTGAAAACCAGACATACATTAAAATTTAATTTACCATCATATTTTAGTACATGTAAACAAAATTGTAGTACCTATGTAGGTGTCATATTTGTCTGTAATGGCTTCAATTAATACTAGTCAATGAAAGTTAATGACTTGTTATTTTAAGCGTCAGTTGAGTGCAACGGTCTTTTAAACTGTTTATTACGGTAACGGATAATCTTTTACATTGTACGGTTTATTGTAAAACCCCATAAGCTTTATTCCAATTAAAGCAATTATTTTTATTCCAACATTGCAGTAATCAATAGGTAAAATTCTAAGAATTTATTAAAAATATTTATTACTTTAGTGATTCAACAAGTTGCGCATAATTTAGAGATAAGATTAAATTCTGAGCTGGTACATTTCCCACTAATTGCATGACCTCAAAATAGAACTCGTATCTCTTTAAAAATGTCAGTCTCAGGGATATTTTTTTACGATTATATAAGAATATCCATTTCTAAGAAAATAGAAAAAGATCTAATAGTAGTATAATTCACATTCAAGACTCATATTTTTGAGAATTTAAGACCTCTAATGGGAGTAAACATTAAAACATAAACCATACAAAATTTATTTAAATATCTGCACAAAATTTATCGCCATTGGTTTCCAATATTATGAGTAAAATATGAGTCATATAGTTTCAGTACAAAATTCTAACTTAAAAAAATATTAGTCACTTTTAATTGCGATTTGATTTTGCCGAAAACTAAAAGCCAACTAAGGGCAGATGTTACAATCATCAGTTAAATCTTAACTGTAGAATAAAATTGAAATTGGACAGTTTATAGGATGGAAGAATTGTTAATTATTCAAAGTTATTTCTCACTTAAAATTTATCTAGCGTCGGAAAAATCGGCCCTATGTATATTAAAATTGCGTTCTAAATGGTGATCATGGACTAATAAACTAAAGTTCCCTGGTTCCATTTACTACTCGTCTAAATTAAGCTCAAACGACAGCCGTGGTCGTACATTCGCTACATTCATTGTCCTAAAACTGTCACTTCTACATTTAGAATGATTGTTAGGGCAGGTAGTATACGTCTATTAAATTATAGTCCTCAATAAAATTGTTGAATTAAATCGCCTGCTAACTCTTCAACAAGGGGAGTATAAGTATTCTATTCTGTAACGGTTAGGCAGAAACATTTCATTGGATATATTTTAGGCATTATCACTATCATGTAAGCCATGCGACGTAGACCTCACTCAGTCTTCATACAATTATAGTAATTAAAGTTATATATGAATACATACAAGTGTACAGCTTACCTCATCTTTGTCGTCGATACAAACATTCTTATTGTTGGAGATGTACTGTTGCAATTCTGCCAGGTTATCGCTGTTGACGAGCTGCGAGAGCGTCCGGAAGCAAGCAAGTGATACCATCGACTCGCTGCGGTGCAGGCTCTGGACACAAAACAATAGACCATAAGCAACACATCTCTATACTTACAAATACTTTTATATTTAGAACAGACTGAACTCATGTCTAACTGTCAGATCTAATACGGTTTTTTTAGAATACCGCATCGGAAATAAAAAGATTATGAACACTTGTATGTACTTATTTCTTTTAATTGGGTAGTTTCCAGGGTATCAAAATTAAAAATCTAATTAGTCCGTCAATTAGATAATGAAAAAGTGTTAAGTTGCAATACTTAGATAAAATGGCACTAAGTTTAGGAGTGGGAGGTTGTTACATCATAACGTGCTACAAAATGTGGCACGCTGTGACGTCACGATATTTCAAATTAATATATCGTCGAAAGTATTTAATTTTGTGAGAAAATAAAAAATACGTGTCTATAGTTTTAGATTAATGTACCCGACGGACATTAAAATAAAATTTAGAAAAGTACCCTATTGTTTAGACTTAAACATGCGGATACGATAGTGTAAAAATCACGTAAAAATTAAAGTATATATAATAGTCTTTAATTTCCGTTTTATATTTATTTCCGTTTAATTGACGTTCCTATAAAATCTTAAAAACGAAATTCAAAACAGTTGTACAATAGAAAGAGGTCTGAAGAAATATCAAGGGTTGGGGACCTATCGGAAGTCCTTAGATTTCGAACGTAATTATTTTGTCACGAATCGTTTAAAGCGTTTTTGATCCACGAAACGACATCGATCTCAAAAATAAGAGAAAAATTTCACTATAAAAATGAGTAAACACTTTAACTTAACACGTTATGAGTAACAATTCTATGAATAATTACTTTGGATCGTTTGCCGATAGGGCTGTATGTCAGCTGGCTGTTAATTCCTATTCCCTTTACAATAAAAATGCTACTCAGGTTAAAAAGTTTAACTTGCTTTATGATCAATAATTACATGGGAGATACTTAGTAGATATAAAAACGCAAGGGGAACTTATCTAATTAATTCAAAGTTAAAATGAATGAGTATAAGTCTAAGAAATACATTATAGTAATAAATAGGAACTTATACGGAACTTACAATACTTGATTGAAACTCTCACATTTGAGATCTTTTTTAATAGCTTAAAGAAAGTGACAGGTAAAAGGAACCGGTCGCATCATAAGGTCAAGTTAGACGTCTACAATGAACGGGAACAATTCAGATGATTAGTATTGCACACAACAATTGGATTAATTATTATTGACAAAAAAATGTACATGATATCACAGGCTAATGTATCACAAACGGATAATGGGATACCAAAATATTTACTCACTAACGGACATGTTCAAAAACATTAGTAAAAAATACTTTAATAGAAACGTAAAAACATTTTATTATGTATCTTAAAATACAAGCAAAAAATACCTCACTTGGTTGTGATTTGCTAAAACGCAACATTGGTGTTTTGGTAGAAACACAGTTCAATTTTTTTTAATTAAAATCTATATTATAGTATCCGTATGTAATGAGCGATGAACGCACAAGAACAAGTAAACGTTTACTCGGCACAGTTCGCGACTTATAATGAACACAATTTTATAGATATAATGATAACATGTGATATCACAAGGTAGCCCAATATAACAATAACTAATAAATAAACTACGTACTTACACGAGCCGAGTTTGTCAACAACTTGTGCAAAATCTGAAGAAGTAGTTGTTTCATGGAAATGATAACAGTGTTCAATGTTTATTATGTGTTTTATTACGTGTGATTAATTATTCTTACACTACATCACTTCCTAAGGATTTAATACTGTGGATTCTAGATATTTATGATATTTTTGCCTGATCTTTAGTTACAGCTTAAAGCATTTGTTTCCTAAATTTGTAATAATATTTATCGATTTGTATTTTAATTTAATTACAGTTAATGTATCAGGTTCTTATCATGCTAATTTTAGATTAGAAAAGTTAATTGTATATTATTATAATTACATATGTTGTTTGTCTCAATTTAGTTATTTTGAGAAACAACAAGCATAATTTAAACCTTTTCACGAATGTCTGCAGTAATATTTAATTTTATGTTAATTTATCTTCGTAAGTCTGTTGGATGAACGTCGATTAAATGACAGCTCAATAATAAAATTACCTACGTAATGGACCGATTTTGTTTTTATTTAACAAAGAGTGCCATGCATGTAACTTGCCAGAAAGTAAAGCGCACATACCATTCACACGTTGCATTACTTCGTAAAATGTTGCACTTTACACAATTATTGCATAGTATAAAGAACACAGTAGGTTATCTAAGGCAGCCCGCCGAGTTATTAGCCTACTCTTGCGTTGATCCCCAGGGTTGTCACTTTTACTTTTAGTTAATATTTTCGAACAAGCAGCACTTGATCTAAATTTATGAAATGAAAAGCATATTATGATTGAATATTTTATCAATTTATAAATTTAGTAAAAATAAAAAGCTTATAAAAAGATTATTAACTTCTTAAAATAAACTTTAGCTCTATACATAGTATTCAGAAAGTAAATTTTGGAATACATTTATATGGAAAAATGCGACACGGCCACGCTCTTAACAAATCAGATAAACTGTGAAATAAACAATACAATACCACATTTTCTTATAATATTTAAGTATAGTAGGTAATTACATTTCTGGTTGAGTAGGAACTATGAAGAATGATAAGAGTAAGAATAAGTAAGTAGGTATCTCATCATCAAGTACCTACAAATTATATTATGCTAGAAAAAGTGACTAGCTTACCTTTCCTGTTCAATAGGTAATCTGAACAGAGACAGTTCTGGAATCGATTAATTATTAAGACACCCAAACACACAGCAATACGTTCTTCTACGGTTATCAGACATTTTTGATTTCATTTAACAGTGCCGAAAAGTGATGCGCGCGCGAACCTCGTGCAGTGTTAGCCCTGCCTGGCGCACTGAGAAACGGGTCGAGATTTTGTTAAAGTGTGCGTGCGTCGACGCATAGATACTATGGCGCACACATATAAGCCGCGCGCGGAGCATTTGTATGAAGATAACCTACTTTGTTCTTTATACTATGATTATTGCGTAGGTAAACAATCATATTTAGCAACAAAACAGTAGTTATCACAACACTTGTTACTCTACTTGTCATCATTGGGCAGACCGTGTTAGAATGTCTCCGTAGTGCGAAACCGTGGAAGGCAAATCCATGGCTGAACCGGCGCTGCTGCTCCCCTGGAGGTGCCGTCACTGTGAACCGCGGCACGTTGAGGTGTGCGCTCGCTGAGTGCGGCCCGTCGTGCTCGTTCGGCCCCACCTGCAGGTGCAGGAACGATGGTCTCCGACGTTTGTGCACCTTAGGCGGAGCCAGCATGGACCCCGCGATACTGTTGCTCTTAGCGCGTGGTGGCGGTGTTCGCATTAATTCATCACCCAACACAGCTTCTGATCTTTCGGATTCTGTGACACTCTGTTCCGTGTCCGAGGATGTGGGAGATTCCAAGACCATCTCCAGCGATGGAGTAGTAGAGGGCGGCCTTGACACATTCTTCTGTTTGTGTATATTCGCAATGAGACATCGTATGTGAACGTATTCGTTGTCTCCACTCGTAGACGCGTCGGGGAGGTGCGGGTGGAGAGACATGTTGTTTTGTCTCTCCGCATAATAAAACGCGCGAACCGCTCGGCTTCTGAGAGAGATTTGTGAATGTGGTGATCGAGACGCTCTATGAACATCGTGACACGTCTCGTACTGGGCGGTTACTATTTAGAGCGCGCCGCGGCGAGGAGATGGGCGGGCGGAGGGCGGCTATGAATGAACTAGTCTGTCAGTGCGGCAGATGTGGAAAAAAGTTACTGCGAAATTGTAATTATCCGAGTTTCTGTTTGGTTTCCCAGTCTAAACATTTCGAAACAGACTTATTAAAATTATCTTTATTTTCACTGCCTGTATTTTAGAATGTAGGTACGTATTTATTGAAAGTTTAAACTTTTCTATTTTTTCGTCCTTTGAAATATTAACTGTGGGTCTGAAGTTTGACACCTCCACTCTTAAGTGAAGTAAAGTATTATAAAACGAAGATACAAAAGTTTTGTATCGCGAAAGTTCTTTCAAAGTTTCCTACTTACCTGAAGTATTATAAATTGAAAAAGTTTTTAGAACACTTCTAGGAACTTTATAATGATTACGGAATAGTCGACCACTGAATAATGTCTGATTCTGATACATAAACGTATATAATTAATCAAGAGATGAAACGCATAATTTACTTTCTATTCAATAAATTGTAATAGAAAAAAAATAAGGATTTTAAGTGACAACCCTCATCGCCACATCTAAAATTAGAAAAAAGGGGAGATGAGGGACAATTGGAGCAAGAGACCCGGGTAATGAATTAGAAACAGCCTTCGGAGGCTATTTATGACGTCACATTAAAAATCCGCGCTCATTAGAATACATACAAGCGAATAGGTGCTGTAGGAGCGCAGCGAGATGCGCTTGAAGATCGCGGAGGCTGACCGATGCGCCGCGCGCTCTGGGGGCAGCATGTTGCGCGGTGTCTGACCGGACTGTGCCGGGTCTCAGTATCTGAGACTCGAAGCCATGCTCCCCGCCGCTAACGATAGACACCCATTACAGGTACGCACCATTCTTCATATTTAACATGAATTTATTACTCATAGCCATGAACTTGAGCTTTGTAGGCGCGGTGACCGATGCGTTTGAGGAAAGGTAATCGCGTAAAATAATCGTTGTCTTTAAATGGTGTATGATAATCTAATTAATGATTACTATTTTATTGGCGGTAGTCAAGTGGTAGGTATAATAAATTAGTGCAGATGGTTAATAAATTTATGGATTTTTAAGTTACATACTTATCTGTACTAAAATTATGACGTAAACTTTGATGACAGTGTTTCAGTCTCCTCAACATTTATGAAAAAGTTCATAGTTATATTTATGGTGAAATTTTACTACCTACCCTACTTTACCTACATAGAAAAACTCAAATATATGTAGGTATT